ATGTTACATCTTGACTGGGTGTTTTGACTTAGGTTGCACTGTCATTGATTGTTTCTAGAACACCTTTCCTAAGTCTTGCGCCATTTGCGTTGAAGGAGTTGGATACTATTTGCCACATTTTCGCGAACGTGGCCGAGGAATGCTCAAAGGTTGCTCAGGCGCTGGTTAGTAATGAAGACGACTTTTTGGAGATCGTTACTAAACTGGAATATAGCCTCTACTCACTAAAATCGCAGAGAAGTCACGTCGGACGTACGCCCAGTGGCTCAAAACGTCCAGAGATAGCTCGACCATGGATACCGACCTGACGTCTCAAGAGTCACTGGTCAAATCTGCTGTGTGTAGCACTTCAGGGGACTGCGCGGGACCTTTTGACGCTGCACACTCGTTCCTACAAAAAACTCTGCAGGATATTGAGACAACTACTCCACCGACCATTCAGGAACTTCCCGCTTACTCTCCTCGGCAGCCAAAGTCAATGACAAGCTCACAGGTGGATCACGCAGAGCAACCTGAAGAGCTGTGTCATCCTCCTGATTTGTCTGCAGACATGCTTTCACTTGGTTTAGGTTTGGATGAGGATCTGGTTGCTGCAACTTTGAGACACAGCGCAGACCCTTCGACCCCTGCGGGCAATACAACCCAGAGGGTAGGGAATCACACGTTCAACTTCGATTTTGGTGCAATGGCGTCAAATGTCGAGAACCAGAATAACACATATATGTCATGGTTTTGATGCTTTGTATTCGAGTAATTCAATTCAATAAGTACTTAATCTGTACGTAGATGAATGATGAGTCCACTATCGCGATCGCGAGGACAAAGGACAAACTCCCACGATTGGAACCACGAATACGTGCTTATGTAATAATGCATTTGAACTTGCTTAAACCACCGTCCACGTACTGCTCAGTGCTATAGCTGGATCTCCTTGCTGTATCCCTTCCTGAAACTGTCCATCGCGTTGCTATACCGGAAAGCTCGGCTCTTGAGATATGTCCCGGATACGGGAGGTATGGGCGCCAAATCTTGAGGCAGAAATGCGGAACATACGAGACCTGATCGACCAATACCCTTACGTTGCAATTGTGCGGCGCGTAGTCTGATGTCTCTTGTAGATGGATGCTCACAATGAAGTAGGACACAGAATTTCCGGGTGTAGTTGCACGACCAATAGGCACTTTCAAAACATCTTCAGACTATCACTACCAGACAATGCGATGTAATGTCGACTTGCTCAAGCTAATACAAGCCGGTATCACACTCGCGGATGAAGAGGGTAATTTCCCCCAGGATGTCACAACTTGGCAATTCAATTTCAAGTTCAGCATAAGGTGCGTGTTAGAAGCCAACATTGTCAGGCATCGCATGTTAAGAATGAAACCCTAGTGAAGATATGTATGCGCCAGAATCAATCGATCTATTACAGAAGTCAGGGCTCGATTTCCACCGTCACGAGGAGATGGGAATATTGCCGTATGACTTTGCTGAGCTCTTGATCACATCGGGTCTAGTCCTTGCGCCCGAGGCCAAGTGGATATCATTTCATAGGTGAGCCATGCGATTCTTCGTCTTCTTTGACAAGTAAGGGCGTCAGGTGCTCTTGAATCTTTGTCTTCGTGCTGTCATTCAGTTCTATTATTAAAACCTCTCTTCTTCATTCACCTTACTTACATATCCCCTCCCTCATATTCCAGTGGCTATGACTTCGGCTACCTGGTTAGGCTTTTGACTGCGATGTCCTTGCCGACGTCGGAAGAACAGTTCTTTGAATGGCTGCGAACCTGGTTCCCTTATTGCTATGACATCAAGTTCATGATGCGTGCCTCTAAGTCCCTTAAAGGAGGGCTTCAGGAAGTTGCGGATGATCTTGGTGTGCGTGATTTCTCCTGTGGCTAGTTGATCGCCAGTTGATTATCAATTCATACAGGTGATGCGTATAGGAACATCACATCAGGCCGGATCAGACTCCCTTCTTACTGCATCCACCTTCTTCAAAATGCGAGAACTCTACTTCAATGATCAAATAGACGACGCCGAATATAACTGTAAGCTGTATGGTCTAGGACAGACCTTTGCAGTATCCAACGGTATCACTGATACCGGCCGAGGCGGAGCTACCATTGCCGAACGAGAAGATAGGGGGATACCAAGGGATTCACAAAACCAAACTCCTGCCTTGTCCGCCCCCCAGAATCAGGGTGTGATAATGGGCATGGGAGTGCCTTTACCTACTCCAGCACTGGGTGGGGCCCTGCCTACGCCACTACCATCTGGTTCATCATATGGGCCTATGGGAGCGAATGGCCCATTCATACGGACGGCGATTGGGGTAGGAGGGAGATAGCGTGCATTTCGTTTTCTCTTTTTTTCATAGGATTGTTTATGTAATTATCTCGCTTCATTGATTTTCTTCCTATTCAAATCTTTGGATAAACTGTCATTGATCCGGCATGTCAGGGGTTCACATCAACAGGCATGTGGGTACTCTACTCATCCGCTTGAAACAATTATCATCGGGTCTACAGTAAGAGCTACTCGCCATCTTAACAAGTCAATGATATCGATGATACAACCAAGTATAGTGCATCATCTGCTGCGTCACCCCTATTTCGCCCGAGTGGCGAGCATGGACTGTATTTATGCGTCAGTGAATGTTACCCGATAGAGCGCAGACACCAACATTTCTGATGCCCCATACTGTCCGCACGGCGGTCTCCCAGTTGTGAGTGGTATCATTGACCTCGTTAGAGCTTCTTAGACGGCATGAGCAGCATTGCGACATACTTGCCATGTTGCCAATCCTTTATCCACGATGAGATGAATGGGGTTCGCTGAAGGGGTTGTACAACAATCCCCTTCCCATGGATCGACGTCGCAGTCATCCATCGCAAGAGTATACAACCAACCTCGTCATTACCAAACGAGGGTCAGCAAGTGCACTCGCTGCGTGGGGCCACGACGCCGATGCAGGTGAAAGAATAGTTGAAACAGCCTTTGAGCTCACAGTTTCTCGGAGTTTTAGGTCTGTAGTAGAGATATGGGGTTCGCTGAAGGGGTTATGCAACAATCCGCTTCCCATGGATCGACGTCGCAGTCATCCATCGCAAGAGTATACAACCAACCTCGTCATTACCAAATGAGGGTCAGCAAGTGCACTCGCTGCGTGGGGCCACGACGCCGATGCAGGTGAAAGAATAGTTGAAACAGCCTTTGAGCTCACAGTTTCTTGGAGTTTAGGTCTGTAGCAGAGATGACCAGTGATTGGGAGTGTTGTAGGTGGTCAGCGACAACGGGTGAGCTCTTATACAAATCTGAGCGGCACAGGTCTCCCGTGCATCCGTTAATTTTCGACGCACTTTGATCAGATAAGTCACTGCAGCTTCCGTGTGCTCCAAGTAGAAGCAGAGTTATGGAACACTGGCATTCAAATCTGAAATGTAAGAACCACGGATCGCCATCGAGGTATATTGCCCATAAACCTGCGGAGAACATCCGCATCTCACCGCGGAGCCAACTTGCATCCTGACTTAGGAACATATTCCGTATTGGTGCCCTTGTTTCTTCATAAAACACATGATCACTCTATGCGTGGAATGTACGTCTTCCGACTCCGCAATCCCATTTCTTTGACATATTCGTGCAGACACAGTTCTCCGTAATCACCATGATCGATACATATTTGAAGTTCCAACATTAGTCTCGAGCCAATTTATCCGTGCCGAGGAAAGCGAAACACTGCCAAAAATGCAGAGTTGATACCTCTTTAGACTAGAAGACGGGCCTTCAAAGGCAAGGTGGCGTATTTCAGGTACTTGCTGATTTCAACTCATCTCCAACCTGATATATGCACTTGAACCCCTGACCTGCATCTGTATAGATATGTTTTTTTTTTAAAAAAATCCAATTTATTGTCCTTCGGGTCGAAACCCTATGTAGGACATAACCTTATATACGGGGGCTTGTCCAGATATGTTAATGTCCGGTCAGTCAGCGAAATCGATAGCTCCTGATGGGCCAGGGCTTTGGTAACTATCGTTTGTTTAGGCTTATGGCACGGTCGGCCGCAGGTAATTCTTTTTAGATCCAATGCTTGTCTATTAACAGAAGAATAATCCTTCTGCACTAGGCTCAAGAGGGTTCACGTTGTCCCCCCTGAGAAGATCTAAAAGTTTTTTTGATTGCACACTTCCAGCAGCGTGCAGGCCTGGTCCTGTACTGTGGCGGACTACTGTCAAATGACTAATTCGTCAAGACACCGTCTACCTACGATGGTGCTAGCCGAGATCACGGCTGGCTGTATTCGTTGCAAATTGTGATGAGGACTGTAAACCAGAGCTAAATTTGTATGTATAACTGTCACAACTTCATGTTCGCTGGTGACGTACAATAGGGTCCCTTGACGGCACTCGGCTATGGCCGACCCACCCAGACCAGTATACTCTACCACACCAATTCTACGATGCTAATTTGCCAGGCCTGTTCCATGTAAACCCAAATCATCGGAGGCGAATAGCTGCTCTTTCAGAAACCACTCAAGGCCTGCAGTGGGCACTTTTAAACTCCTCGATCGATCCAATGTTGATGGTCTGCCTCCTGGCAAATTAGGAACAAGAATGGACTCGGAGCGGGCAGTTGCGATCAGGCGCGGACCCTCCTCCACTAGAATGGAGAGATACAATATCGCCACGAAAAATAATGCCTTAAACAAAGGAGGTAGTGCAACTGGTTCTGAAATACTGAGATAGAAATTGGTGGTTATCATATGGCATGTATGTACCCAGGGTGTTTGAAATCGTGATTAATGTATTATCAACTGACGGCAGTGACAGAACCGTTGCGAAATAATCAAGCTAAATCCACCTGGCACATGTTCAGCAACTTTATGTTCTTTGATTTGACAACCAGACCCACGTACATAATTACTGGGAAATATCCCCTTCTTCCCGTCTCTGGAGAACCCTAAAATTATAATCAGTCAGGCGGCGTTGAAATGAAGGTCAGACCACCTGGATACCTTCCCACCAACCGTCCGCATAATTTTGACCTCCATTTGTTCCAGAGGACAGCTCAACAAAGTCCCCCTCATGTATCGTTAGCTCTTCTGGTTCTTGAGCTCGATAGTCGTAGAGAACCCGTGCTGTTTACCGGGTAACAATGAGAAATAACTGATCGTACCAGAAAATAGCCGGTACTCGTACCGTATATGCCAGACCCTTGCTGAGAATTTTGCTGAGAGGGTTCAGATTTTTCCAATGGCCATCCGCCTGCATCTTCCAAGTAGCTCGCAGGAACCAGCCCTTTCTCACCTTCGGAGTCAGCCACCTTTACCCATCCGGAACCATCGTCTTCCTCTAGCACACGCACAACAGCACCCTCTTGAAACCATATCAGCACGTGCAATACGGGGACATGTCGCCACACAGACCTGTCACATTCAATTCGAAGGACGAGGACGCCGCAAAGTCGAAGATAGCACGAGCCAATCGATTCACTTCTTCCACATGCGGTGATATATTGTGTGGCACGGAAGAAGGTGATGACGTTGAAGTTTCTCTGGAGCTGGTGGATATTGATGCTGCGGATATTCTGTGAGTCCTGTTATAGAGCATATCATTTACCCACATCTACTCTCCGATATAGACACGGCAGAAGAGGGAGACTGCAGAATTTCCGAGGCTTTGTAATTGCCGTGAATATTACTGCACTCCGCAGGCACCTAACAATGTCCATCAGCGACGTTCTTACATGGTTTAAATGGGAGAATGAAATCACATTTAACTCGCATTTAGAGTGCACTGATAAACCACAACTTTTACAGGTCTTTCCCTGCTTACTTAGACCCCAGATCGAAACCTAGGAAGTTATTGGTCAAACAGCATAGGCACGCATCCACCTGCTTATTGATCATACCTTACAATATCCGCATGTCGTGGGTATCGAAAAGGCCGAGCTCTTGAAAACGTGCGGGCTCGAACCTCCCTCGTCGCCTTACGCATTAACATCAACTGGTGTATGCACCATATTCATCTAACATGTTGCTTACCCCCCAGGGCATCCGCGATGGTGTTGATTTCCGAGTTCAGGACACATGCTGAGGTCGAGAGGGCGGTGACCTCGTGGGCAGCATCAAGGTAGCTCTGCATAAGAGTTAGTAAGGAACCCATGCTCTGCGCATAATGACTACGCACATTCATGGCGTCACCCATGTCTCCAGGTGTGTTATTGGTGGCGCAAGCTGTAAGCATGACACGATATTTCTCGGCGTCTGCCCCTGTACTCAAGATGGTGAGTGCGACAAGCAGTCCATGAGGTAACATTGTACCCACGGTTTTTTCCAAGCGCAGGGTTTAATTCTCTCAATTTAGCTCGCGAGCGCGCGAGTTTATTTTGTAAGAACACCCTGGGGGCTGGATCAATGCAAACATCTCCCTGCAATTTACACGCTCCTGAACATAGTACATGTAACTCAAGTTAGTCGGACCCACCGTATCGTAGTGGTTCGAACATGGTTCAAATACCCAGTCGTCGGGTAGACTGAACGGACGGATGTTAGATTCTATGAAAAGCCCTTGGTCCTTATCGGGTCGGACTTCGATCAAGGCGGCGCTAACGGTTGCAAGACGGTTCTTCAAGATATCTTGGTGCGATAATTGGATATTCTGGGCCTCTGTCACGACACCAACGAAATCCATCACTAGACGAGTCTGTAATTCCTCTGCAAACAGTTAGCCGAATCATGTGCAGTGATAACCGCTCACGGAAAGACTGGATATGACATAAGGTTCGTCAGTATGGTAGGTGCCGAATAGGATAATGTAATCTAACTTACATCTTCAAGACTTGGCAGGTCCTCGGTATAAAACTTCGTCTTCACACTGTTGGCGGTTGCAGTTGAAATAATATAGACACTGCCGGGTTCGAATTGGATAACATTCTACTTTTTTTTTGGCACATACTTCTTGCTATTGAGCATGTCAAGCCTCTGCAGATCATATTGTCTTGCTGAGCGCTCCGCGTGTCGATCGTGAACAGACTTGACAGGGATCCATAACCGTGAGAATATTCTTGACGAGCCTGAGCTTCCTTACCTGCTTTTGACGATGAGCTTCAACTTCGGCGCAATCGGCGTCATACTTGATGAACGCGGTGGTTAGAATAGTTGCGTTATGACGTCCAAGATCTCACTTTTTGCTTGCTCTGTATCATGATGGTTAAATATGCAGGTGGGACCAGCTTAAGTAAGACCTTGCCTTGATGCGTCCAGCATAGATCTTATCGCGTCCAGCCAGAATCGCGTGATAGAACTGCATTTGCTACATATATCGTCAGTATGCATAGGTATGATTTTCCACAATAATGGAACCTTTTTCTTGTAATCATCGTTGCGGCGCTCAACAGCCTTGAGAGATTCTGTAATCTGGGATGACAATGCCTCCGCTAGGTTGATGTGGTCCTGGGCAGAAGTTGATATTGATGATAAGATCTCAGAATATGCATGGTTAAGGGTGCTGCCATCGGAAATGAGTACCCGGCTAAAATCGGGAAGAAAGGACGTGCTTCTGTTGATTCATACTTTCCGTGCAAGCCTTGGTGGGATTGTCTCCGACGACTAATGATAGACCATTTTTGTTCTTCTTTTCGGTTGCTTTCTTCGCCAGCTGCTTCAACTTTGTTGCATACTCACGTTCTAACACTGCTCTATCGCGGTACAGTTCGCGGACCTGTTATAAATCAAGCATGTGGGCTCAGCTGCCCAAGATTTCGAATTTCGAATACCCACATCGGCTAATAGATCAAGGTGGGCGTCAAAAAGACTGGAGATACGATCTACCTGGTCCTAAGCGTGAAATGAACGTCAGCAATGAATGCCATGATTGATTGCGGATTCAGTAGGTTACAGGCAATAGTTCACCATAGCTGTTGCTTTGTCTCTGCATTTTCTTTCAAAGCGTATGTTTGTTGAATTTGCGATTAGAATCTAGCACGTCTTGAGCGTGAGTACTTGAGTGGCCAGGTGAAGAGCAAACGTAGCGATTGCGAAACGGAACGTGAAGTTGACCCACTAGCCTCGGAGTCTCATCTTGCCAGAAAAGGTGACTCAGACACAGGTAATTATTATCTAAGTTATCGCAGTGCGTCCGACCGTCGTGTCAGAAAAACATCACCTGTTGCAACTCGCACATTCGAATATATGCTAATAAAGTCATGACAGGGACAATTGTAAGTCGGAAACTGCATTTTAATCGAGACACGATGCAGACAAGCGACTCTGACCTGTCGGTTCACCCACCATCATGCGGCATGCCATCAGTTTCAAGTCGAGTGAAACGTGGGGCGGCGATCAATTTAGATGATAAGTCACATGGCACAAAAAACATATATATGATCGGACGGCGACCTGTGCTTCAAGTGAAGCTTGAAGGGTTGCAGTGTTACACGTGTCCCAAATATGCTATAGCACGTTGGTAGGGAAATCGTGGTCTTTACGTCGATGCCACTAAGAGCGAACTGCAAGGTTTGAGCTTGAAGCTTGGAAGCTTGAAGGTTGCAATGTCTCATGGGTGCCAAATATGTTGTAGCACCGCTGCTAAGGGAACGTGGTCTTTACGTCGATGCCACTAGTAGCGAACTGCAAGGTTCGAGCTTGAAGCATCATGAAGCTCGAAGGGTTGCAATGTCTTACGTGTGCCAAATATATTGTAGCACGCTGCTAAGGGAACGTGGTCTTTACGTCGATGCCATTACGAGAAAACATTCCGAGCCACGAATTTCTGGTCAGAAATTGACATGCCAAGGACGTGTCTGGGAAGCGATTTAGGCTCGTTAATGATCCTGCTGGCTGTGACAGTTTCCACCCCCGTCCGCGAAGCACGCATGAGTGCTCTAGCCGTCGCTCAGCGCTGCAGCCGTAACGCGTAAACAACCACACACCGGTTGTGGGCTGTGCGCAGCATGTCAAGTAGTAACGCCGCAGGTGCGTTCGTATTTTCTGAGCGTCGATAGAGAGGGTTTCAAGAAGCGAGAAAATGTTGGTAGGACATATGAAATTCTATCCATTAATGCTGAACCAGGTTGCGGCTATTAGGTGTCAGTATTTGCTAGCCCGCACGTACGATCTGGTACAGGAATCGGTATTTCAGTGTGAAGAGCTCCTGGGGCAGTGGAGCCTGACGGTTTACTAATCGTGGAGAGGACGGACGGACAGGACAGCTACGGCACCGAGGAGTTGTGCCCGTATCGCTTATTGGAGAGCGATCCCCGCGGTGAGAGTTCGGTATGTCGGAAGCCGAGAGCACGACAGAGTCGGACAGACATATTTGCTAGTGATGAGAAACGAAGTGGACAAGAAACAACACGAGGTGCGGGGAAGTTGGAAGTTGACCCAATGATTTGCGGAGACAAGATGGCCGGAGTGGACCAAAATTACTAGGTGCGTGGGACACAAAATGACTCCTTTGAGCAACATCCAAGTCAAATCTTTCTTAAATTTTTGGTGATTCGGTACACGAGGCTATATCATAGTAAGTAACAGCCCTCATAACATTATCCAAGATGAGATGGATGTACACCTTAGCCGGACGGCATTGCTTCTGTCGTGTGTGATCTCGCAAGCGTACCTGTGCTCGAGCTTGCCGTGATTTTCGTTTCCCCCTCGACTCGGAAACAATAATATGTCCTGAAGACTTCCGATGTACGTTGTTTTTTGAAGTACGTATCCGCGTACCGTCTTTTTCTTCCCTAGACAACGCGACTCCAGTGCGGGATAATCTATAACTGGCACAGCAATCAATTTTCCTGAAGAGCATATCTCGGAAGTGAGGTAAAAGCCTGTCTCCAGGTATAAAAGGGCCTTATAGATTGTATATCGAAGTAAGTGCGAGTAGAACTCCATCCCCTAACGTCTTCTTCACGCACTCGACATCTTGCCCCCTCACTGACTGCCGATATGTATAGACTAACGACTGTCTTGATCACGCTATGCACGATTTTCTTCACCGTTCTCGCTGCGCCATTGCGGCTCAAGGGAAGTGCGACAATGTCACTTGAAAAGCGCACCACACACACAGGCGAGGTGAATTGACGAAAGACAGTTAATTGCTGATTGCTAGATTGCTAATTGCTTTAACAAAGGGTACCTGGTTTGAAGTTGGTACAGGAGCCTGCGGATATACGGATACAGATGACGATCCTATAGTCGCTATTTCCGCCGATATATATGGTAGTGGAGGAAACTGTAATCAGGTAGGCCCATCTCCCATTCCCGCAATGCGGACATTGGATGCTTATCGCTCGTAGTGGATTCACATCACCAATACCGACAACGGACAGGAGGCGTACGGGAAGACGCGTGACGAATGCGAGTCTTGTGGCTCAACTAGCCTAGGTATGCTGTTATTTCAGGGTTTGAATCGTGTACCTGTTAAATCCGTTTCGCAGACATGTCTCCTAGCCTATTTGAAGAACTGAGCACGCTTGACACCGGTGAAATACCAATTTCATGGCACTTTATGAACAAGGACTGGTCGCCTTAACTGCGCGCCGTCCTGTATATCAAATCTTACTTCGGGCACGATTTCCTTACGGTTTCCATCACGATTATTAGATTATCATTATAGACGACATATACTCTTCGTCAGGAAGGGGATCAGGATCTTTTGTATCATTACATAACAATATTTCTGTTGCGCTTTATCACCTACAACTACAAATGAAATGCAGGGCTGGCTCTGGGAGACGTAGTACTACCATCTTTTTCTTGTTTGTATTGGTTTTAGTAACTTGATTAGCATCTGATCTGCATGTCCTTATTATTAGCACGTATATAGCCTGAGAATGGGTAGGTTCCTTTCGGTCGACTCCTGCCAGTGAATGACTTGCACGTCTGAAAATCACAAGAATTGACATCTCGAAGTTCAAATTGCTGAGCTCCACGTCCTTGCGACTCGAAAGAGCCGAAGATATATGGTGAGTATCATCGTTCGTAGCACAGTATCACCCTAAACGAAGACCCAATAACATCGCAGGTTTTGGATCCCTTTGCCTAACTGTTGCGGTATATAGTTATAAATGTATGTAAAATCCTCGCTCTCTCAAATATTGTTCGCAAGATTGCGACATGTCACGTCAGTATGACTTCCTGAGCAGTTCAAGTTCGCCTTCCATGATTCACCACGATGCAGAAATGCTTGAGCATGCCCGAACGCCGTACCTTCGCGATGCCGCGATGATGCTGATACTGGCTGTTATCTGCACGCGTTATAGCATGCATATACACGGCTTCATATCTCGTCCGACCTGAAGCCGAGGTTTCCGTGAGCATCGGAGACACCATAATGAAAATACGACATCACCGCGTCCCTCCGCGACCACGGGGACTCCTCAAGCGTTCAAATATTATTTGTGTCCCCCGAAACAAGGACAGTTGCAAGTTGGATATAGAACCGGGCCGATGTGGCACGTCTGCCAAGACTTAAGCCTCGGCGACTACTGGTTGATTTTGGGCCTTCACCGAGTCTTGCAATAATGGTCTGCCCTCACCCACAAATGCGATGCACCTCAGTTCAGCAGCATGGCAGCTATTTCTCTGAAAAGCATGGGATATTCGACAGTCACACACGCACTGGCAAGTGCTCGCGCCTTTTGATCATCATCTGAGTACGAGTGGAAGCTGGTGAAAGTTTGCGCCCCGAATTGTTCTAGCCTTCCGGAATATCAAGCGAAGAGAAGACCGTACGGAGGTCACGGAAATGAGGCTGAGGATATCAGACTCGTCGGCCGATGCTCTAGAAGGTGTTGCGTCATCAGAAGGTATCTCTATCCTAGGCACTGGTCCCTCGAATGATCAAATCTCGAACGGCAGGTATCTTCATTTCCCTGAATGGCCTGGAGCCTGCTAGCGAATAATGTCGCTGCTGGTACTCTATATGAAGGGCATGCCATGCGGAGAGCAACATGCCCATCATCGTGAAATGAAGATCATACAGCATGCTGTTACTACTCGCGTCAATTTCTACATAAGAAGAGCCTCACGTTCTCCTACCCCCTTCCTTTGGCCCATTTAGAAAACCCTCATAATAGCGGCGCTGCATTTCACATGACTTGGATCATTGAACGATCTGATAGACACCGCATGTTCGTTCTCGAGTAATTCGAGCACTCAATCATCGTCTGGCCCTCCGAGTTCCTCACATAGCAAAAAATCGTGCCTAAATCTGGTGCTCAAGTTGGTATGCGATGACTGACTCGACAAGAGCAACTCTTGTATTGCATTTTACGATGCATGCTCCGTGACGAAACTCGAAGTCGAAACTCAGGTTGGGTGAACCCGTTATCCGAAGATTGCCGCCTCTTTATACCCCTTGTAACCTTCCCCTAAAAACCAGTAGCGAAATGAGGGCCTCGATTCCCTTCAATGAATCCAGAGCAGTGTCTAATTTAGCATTGATCATCCAGTAGTTCCCGCCAGGCACCGCAACTCAATCATCAGGCCCTGGGCTCTTCCAAGTTCAAGTTCCAAAACCAAAATTCATTACATCCAAATGAAAATCATGCACATGGTGTGGCGAGGACTTGGAGTGCTTCTAGACAGTCAATTTCTGAGTACAGAATCTTAGAATGCAGACGAAGATGTATGTGCCCTAGATCCACCGCCGCCGCCATTGGCAAGTCGTTCCGCGTTTTTATCATTTCTTTCTACCATCGGTTACGGTCTATCAATATCTCTGTTGCGTGTTCTTCATACCGAAAACTCGTGGAGGAAGCAGCGAAAATAAGACCACCCCTTCGACGACATGACTGAGAGTGCACAAATCATCCAGCGATGCACATGTCTCGAGCACTATTCCAATAACCAAAGTTTGCTACATTCATGTAAATCATGTAAAGTGTTCCAATAATAGCACTGATATTGTGAGGATGCTAGAGTAGAGTTGGAATAGAGTGATTGAATGCCAGTCAAGTATGTGTCGTAAATCCACCTTCGTCATCAAAATCGTACAATGGAAAAATGAGTAAGCAAGAGTTCATGAACACTGAGTCGCAATCATCTGATTCTTAGAAATGCGTTGGATATCAATCGAAGCTCATGGCGCCTATAGGATGTAGAACAGCGATACCAAGGCGAGTATAATTGACGCGCCTGACGCACGGTTCCTCCATGCAGCACCCGTGTTTGTAGTTTGTGTTGATGTCGCAGTAGACGTGACAACTGAGGTTGTACCAGAACTTAAAGCAGGCGTAGATGCCCCGGCCGCAAGTGTTATGCCAGAAGTTGTTGTGGGAGTCAAATTAAGCGGAGTTGATGTCGGGGTTTCCGACGGAGCTTGAGCTGTAGGGGATGCGCTGCTCGTAGGAGTGGCCGACTGAACTGAAGAAGATGTGGACGACGCAGGAGCAGACGAAGATGAGCTGTCGTTGATGATGGTGAACTCTGGACTGGCATTGCCAGAGTCCCCAAACACTTGAACAAAATTATTAGAGCTACCTCGCGCAGACACCCACAACTTACAAACAACGATATAATCTTCTCCTGTCTCCACATCGGGAACGGTGATGAGAACTTGACCGACCGTATAATTGATGTTCGTTGCCAGTGGTGAATCTAAAAATATTATTTAATAACAATAAAAGCATAATATTTCACGACATGGTTGACTTACTCAACATTAAGTTCTCGCTGTTGTTGTACATGTATCCGAGAACAAGCATCCCAACCGGATTGGTGATGTTAGAAGATAAACCGTTAGTGCTCCTGCGACAAACGCGTTATTCAAAGGAACCCGATCACTCCTAGGTGTATACACTTACCAAGTTACCAGCTGCTTCTCTCCGACATGCCATACAGTGCCCGCCGTTGGACTAGTGATGGGCGGATCTACCACATCCCTCAAATTCAGTGGCAGTGAGAGTGCCAACAATGCCAGAGATGTGATAGTGAATAAGAGGTTCGTGAACACAAACATATCGTTGAAATCACTCAAAGCAAGGACGGGCAACTGGAGCTAGAGGTCTGAACGCTCGAGCAGTCAGTGCACCACATTGCCGAAACTGGTTGAACATGTTAATACAATAGCAGTCGTGAGAAAAACAGTTAGGTAAGCGATAGCCTCGTGCCTTAGACTCAATTTACACTAGTTTAGTAGTTGCTGCCATTGGACCCTATCTTGGTGAAGTCCAACTGACATGCACAAGACCATGAGAAAGTTGGGTCTGCGCTCCACAGGAGGATCATTTGTACGCTAGGGTCTTCCAGGCACCGTCACTGACTCGGATAATGGCGAGTCCGAACTTTGGCACTGTGATACGTAACGTTCGACTGCCATGCACAGATCATTCAGAGACTGCTGCATGGGACATAGCCTGCCTTGATGGTCGAGTACAGAGTATAACCTCTTCAGGATCATGCATACTTCACGATGAAGCTACAGTGATCGAAGCCGATGGCGGGGTGCTAGTCCCTTCGTAGGTTTGACTTCGTCTACGAATTAACTGCCAGTTCTGAAGACTTCCTATATCTAGGCTGTGCCACTCACACATTCACCTCGACAAGTGTTTTATACTCGGTCAGTGTGACCCGTTGATCACTGGGTACGTTGCATCATATTCAACATGGCTGAAATGTTGACTTCGTCCAAGGTCTTTACCTGAAGCTCTTCAAGTAACAAATAAAGCTAAAGCAGAATTTCCAAAGGATGTCGATAATCTTTATGCTAGGGCGACTTATCTTATCCGAGAGAGCGTGGAGTCCGGTGTTACTGCGATGCGAGCCTTCGTTGAGGTGGATACGACAGTTGGATTCACATGTCTAGATATGGGACTTCAGTTAGCCAAGGAATGGGCTGAGGTTTGTCATATCCAAATAGTTGGTCTGCCACTTTCACCTTCCGTTGCTGCACTTTTGGGAGCGCTGATATCTATTTTCAGCTTTCGCCCAAGAGGCGCTCTACGAATTTGCGGCTTCAACAGAACCCGGTCCAAATTACAATTTGCTTTGTGATGCAGTTTCCCGCCCAGACGTTTCTGTCGTCGGCTCTGCGCCTTGGGTTGAACCTGACCACGCACATGCTCTTAAGAACATCGAACTTATAATGTCTCTCGCTGAAAAACACGACCTACACGCAGACTTTCATCTGGATTACAATCTCGATTCGGGCGCCGTTCCGATGGTTTGGGATGTATTGCAGCAGATGCGCCAGCGATCCTGGTGTAAAAGTAGCGGAAAACGTGTCACTATTGGACATGCAACTAGGTTGGGACTCTTTTCGGACGGAGAGTGGGCGGAATTGAAGCGCGCCACAGACACGTTACCGTTGGAGATTGTCGCACTACCGCAAAGTGATGTTTACATGATGGGTCGTGCGGATCCTCGTGGGAGAGTTCCTGTCCCGCTTGCAGGGCGCACAATCAATGCGCCTCAGGTTTACCGCGATCACGGAGTCCGTGTTGCGCTTTCTGTGAATAACGTTGAGAATGCCTTCACGCCCCAGGGGTCACTTGATCCCCTCACACTTGCTAGTCTTGGCGTCGCACTTTTTCAAGTGGGTACGGAACCAGACTGGAGAGTACTTTTGGTGAGCAAACTGGGTGGAGTTAGCTCTTGCCGTAATCTGACGATCGTCACAGCGATCGGTGTCGACAACATCTAAAGAAGCCATTGGTGTCATGCACGGGGGCAGTGTTGGTGGGAAATCCGCGGATGAAAGCGATGGTGTTGTCCCCCGTGTCGGTGATCCTGCTGATTTCGTTGTAGTACATGGGGCACGTCGGTGGCAATCCGCAGTGCTAAGCCCGGGATTCGACCGCACAACATTTTATAAGGGCAACGTCGTAGCAAGACGAAGGGCTCAGAGATGGAATGCAAATACGGGTGGAGAGATCACCAACTAGTCAGAATGGTTATATACACCTGCAGATCTTTGGGCCACACAGACTTCATTTGGAGTCATCACGCTTGAAGGATTATCAATGTGATTCATATCATGGTGTGCACCATCTCGTGAGTCATGCGTAACCAAGAATCTGGATATAGATCATCAATAAGTACTTAAGTACTTACTCAGAAGCAAGTTGTATTTCTACAACTATATGAAGATAAAACACATATAGAAGTCCCCATTTACAAAAATCCGCTCTCTTGCAGCAATCGAGCCATCTTCTCGTCTTCTCTCTCACGAGGTTCGCGTTCCAGACTGAGGTTCCAAAAGTAATCGCCCACATCAACCTGCTCGCTGAACTTAGCAAGTGATTCCTCAAGGTAAGTTTGTACGCTCGTAATAGGGTTGAAATTATGAGGGAATGTTTGCCAGCGCTGAATATCCTGGATCACCTCCGAAGCTTTCTGTCGTTTTCGGAAGTTCACCAAGTTACCTGGAAGAGTGTCCTTGCTTCCATCTTGAATGAACGTTAGTGTAGTAAGGAAGACCCCTTTACATATGAATGAATACATCAACAGCAACAAATAATCAAAGTAAAAAGCTCACCAATGAAAGGTACACAAGGGGGCGCGACTCTTGCGAGCGTCGAACGATAGTTATTGAAGTTCTTGCCTGAATCGATGGTCAACTCGCATGCGCTAAGTTGAGCCATATGTCGCGCATTCACTTGCTCCCATGAGCGCTTGAGGCGCCTTATAGGAGGCGAGTTCAGTCCAGATACTATAGCAACCATGCTCGAGTAATTGTGCATCGAGCGACATCGCTGAGCGAAGTAAGCATCGTGTGAATGAATTCCGTAGCAGACCACTCACATCAGCCACACTTATGAACTGCTTCAATATAGCCGAACGCTTCCTGGAGTCCTCGTGGATGAGAACGGAGTCGGCTACCCAATTAGCAATCTGGTAAAGTTATGAGCATATCATGGCTATCGGAGGGCCGGACCATACCCGATTACTCGTCTGGATTACCCGAGCAATATTATCGTTGTGGTCTGTCTTTTGCTCCCGCGAACGCTGCAGACATTCCACTGGCCGTATCTTCTGGTATAAGTGACTCTCCATAATCGTCAACTGTCGTGCCAATTCCAAGGAGTCTACGTCCAAAAGTTTCAACTTCTTATTGTGCTTGGGTAAGATCGAGGGAGGTGGACTGCCCAAAGTAGGAGTCAAGCCTTTCTTGACGTCTCCTCCACGCTGAGGCGCCTGAGTCAGACAGCCTGTACCATATCAACGACGCTGAACTCACTGCACGTTCAACGAGTGAAAGTAGCTGCTTTGCACCCACAAACTTGCTAACATCCTCGTTCTGCAAGAATTCTTTCATTCGATTCAGGATGTACATATCCTCTTTCTCAAGGAAATCTTCATCCGAAACCATGGCCTTAAGAGTATTTAGGACACTGAAAATCACATTAGGTATAGTACGAAAGAATCAACAATGACGCACCGCATCTGAATGACATGTTGCTTGAGCTTTGTCCATTCTTCCGACTCAGGGGGACTCAGGCCTTCTGGAATTTGGATGCGGAAGCGGCGGACGAGGTGGTCGAAAAAGTCATCAAGGGTGGTGAATGACTTGTACGTCATCAAGAATGTTTTGATGAACGTAGGATCTGAAACGTCCCAATACTGAATATGATACCGAGGTCAGATAGGTTACGAAGCACCCGTACCTGAAGGATCATGTGACGTTAGACGTTCGACCAAAGCTGGAACAGTTCCTGCTCGAATGCTTCCATCTACATCAATAGTCATGTCATTCTTCGTGTAGTCGGGTCGCAGATACCAGGGCTTTGTGCTGATGATGTGCTCAGGAGCGTCATCGCCAAAGATTTTCTTGATCTTCGTTGCTGTTCTCGTGGTCGCGGCTGTACATATCATAAGTCGAGAAAGGAAGGGAATATACAAATGTCGCTTACAGTCGTCGTCAGGCATTGAAGCCGAGTCACTCATCGACAGGACATCCTGCGGCTTATCAAATGTTGAAGGTACCAGGGTGTGTACAGACGTAGTGGGGTCGTAGTTCGAAGCCGCCGACTTAAGTGACCGATCGGTAAGGGTAACGGTGGTGTCAGATAATTGCGATTGACTTCGGGATGTTGGCGCTCGGTCACCGAGAATAACCGCCGACTTTTTCATTCCAGACGCACCAAAAGCAACCGCAATGTCAACAATGTCCTCGCTCTCTGGATCTGTCGGGTCGAGGACCGACATGGGACGGGCGTCAAAGTTGGAGTCAATGACGCTTAAACGTGACATGCGCCACTCTATGGCACCTGTGTATTCTCCTTGAGCCATGTCTGCTTGATCGTGGCCAAGGGAAAGTAGGGTATCAAGGGTTTGCATGAGGAATTGGAGATTTGACTTGAGGGAGACGGATATGGCGTCTAGGTACTCGCACTGGGAGTCACGATCTTGTCGCGAGATTCTGTAAGTAAGGCGACGAACTCGCTGTATCGTGAGAAGCAGCGTAGCTGCGTCATCGTATAGAGCTTGTACTACCGCCTCGAGCGTGCGTGTGAGCAACCGAGCTTTGTCCACGGTTTGAGTGTACAGAGCAGCACGTTCAGCATCCGCCATATTGGAGTAGAAACCATCGATATCGACGTGACGAGCGATGTGGATATTGGCAACGAATAGGAGGAGTGATGAAAGGCCAGAAAGAAGCTCGCGACCTGCAATCCATACTCGTTGCTCTGAAAATATTCAACAGATAGATCACAGTATGAATACTAACATACTCACGAGACTCATCGCCGATGGTCTTGAGCGCGGCATGGAATGTTCCAAACCTCGCCTGCATTGATACCATGTGCGTCTTGAACTCAGAGAAAACGTCACCATCTAAAATTCGCTGAGGAGCTTCATCATTATCATCCAGCGGTACCCAGCCAAAACCCCTCCAAGACCCTGCATACCCCGCACCAACTAGCCCCAGCCCAAGGTAGACTGCAGAGTAGCAACCCAGAACTCGTTTTGTTCCTACACCACCCAGTCGTTCGTTTTGGCACCGCTGAACTTCAATGACGAATGTCACGATGGCACGATCAAGCTCTGCTGCGTCGCTTTCAACACGAGATGCTGTATCATGCGCCGCAGGACCCGAGTCGTATTCCATGGCTCGAGCAGAAAGAACGAGCTTGGATAACGTGGCGGTTACTTTCCGTTGAGCTGGTTTCAGAAGCGTCTGTGATGCGGTAGTCTCGCGGCGTCCACGAGCACCGCGTGGTATGAGGTTGCTGGGTATGTGACCAGGGGGTGCGGATATGTAAAGTAGATTACGGACGGTGATGACAACAGCCCTGATGAGGCTGTCAAGGACCTGTCCGTGTTCTGCTCTTCGAGATACGCCGACCAGAGACTGGTTTTTCTGGACAACGGCAGAGATGGCGTTATGTGCGATATGAGATAGATCGGAAATAAGGTCCGGGAGTGGTGGTGCTAATGATTGCTGTAGTGATTGGGCAATTTTCTCAGCTGCGGTCAGTTCAACGGAAGGCTTCCTAAGAGCTACTTGGTCCGCAAAAAGATCCTGACCACTTTGAGAGCGACCACTGGTTGATGGTGAATCACCGTGGTCTGGAGAGTATAGGCAGGAATCTTCAGAATCGCTAACATGCTCCGGCTTGCTGTGACTCCGGTCCTGCCCATGTCGGCTTTGGGATGTCGTTGAATCAGATCGAAATCGCGTTGGCGCCGAATCCTCACTCGGGCTATTGAATAAATTTGATGAGGCAGTGGAGGAACTGGTGAGGGCGCGAGTCCTGCCCTTCTGCACAGCAGCCTCTGTTTCTGGAATTGTCCAGCTCACTTGACCAGTGAGCTTATTCCAGTAATAGTAAGACATGCCATCATCGGCAAGTCGTCTCACCCAAGGCTCGGGCGTCCCGGAGCGTTTTAGAACACCAAAACCTGGGATAGAAGATTCCGTCAAGGCGCTGAGTCCTAGCCCTGCGCTTGTGCCTGACCGCGAACTTGGTTGAGAAGAAGCCAGTCCAGCAAGTTCAGCAGCCGATACATCGTCGCCTTCCATGGGTAAATCTCGCGAGATCTGGCCTGTCTGCGTATTAACATAGTAAATCTGGAGAAGAAGAAGAGATTGGTCTGAGGTGTAAGGAATCACAGCAAGTAAAATGCTCTGCTCACCTGGCCATCCGGTGTGACTTGGGGCATCCAAAAATCGCTTGACAAAGTCGCGCTGTGTTCTGCAGCACTGCGGGATTCAAGAAGACCGTTGGATGGAACAGACGGGTCACGTTTATTTCGCGACAATTCACTGTCTGATAAGTGAGGGTCCTGTATCCGGGAGTGGAAGTCGTTTGAATGAGTATCACGAGCTACTTCATTTGTTTGCTGGAAAGGCCCTTGTTGAGTTGTAGCGTCGTGGTTGGTAAGAGCGATCTCTGCCTCCTCATCAGATAACACTACCACATAATTGGATGGAAACCATCCCCGTTCATCGCCGAGGAGTCCGTCCCACCAGCCTGACTCGAGCTGGGTGAGAACCTCGATAATTTCATTCTTGTGGAAGGAGAGAGAGGAAGCATCTTGTGTCTGGTAGTCATATAGAGCTCGACAGAAGAATGTGGAGATGTACTGCTCCTCCGGAAGTTGTGAGATCTGCTGTTCCTGTTCGACAGTAATCGTGGTGGATTGGGAAGGGTAACAGTTGACACCACTATACATGGCGAGGCCGATTGCAGTCATATAAGAGCTGACGTGGAATGGAGAACCTCAAGTAGAACGAATTCTGATGGATTGGCGGAAGCGGAGGGAAGTCAACTCAGCTAGCTAAGATGAGCCGTATGCCTTCACAACGGACTGTTACGTAATCACACAATGCGTTATCGCAGACTACGTGCCAAGGAACTCGGTACAGCACTGATAGCAAAGTCTACCGATCTCACCGCTTCAGGGTCCTTTGCTTCTCCGCGAACTGCACAATTTTTCGATCAACAAACATTCCTTTCCGCTCTCGCACGCTGTCCATATAACCTTTCGCTATATTGTCTCGATCTGCTTTCTCACCCAGGTCTTCCAGCTCTTCCTCAGTTGTTGGTATCCAGAAGGGATCTTGATCAAGCAATTCATATCTTGTGCTTCATTTCAATTACCTGCAAACGCTAAATAGGTGGTATTACTCACCCGCTGAAAATTAGTTGTGGGCTTGCAGCACCAGACGTCCGTTTGCGTATATCTGCATCACAGAGTGAGACTACCCCATCGCAACATGCGAATTCAAGCTCACCATCTGCGAAACCAAAACTCTCCACAACTGGAAGAAGAGCAGATACTGTGAAGAATGTAGTCCCTTCCTTCATCTCTTCTGCCACAATTCGACCACGTCGTTTCGCAACCACTCCATAGACTTTCCCAAGGACATCCGCTGAGATAAGCTTTAATTAATATAAGAGGCACCGACCAGTGGATCACGTACTTGAGGCTTGAATATCACACGAATATATCGCCAGCATAAGCCTAGGGGACCAATCAAGCAATCCATTTCTGCAGGCATCTCTCACTGCCGATATCACGGAGCCCGTAACTTGCGATAACCTATTCTGGACTGTTCAAAATGTTAAAACATCATATATGTCAAGCACTTATCAAAAGCATACCAATCTCCTTCTGGACGCCATCGGCATCAACGTCAATTGATTCAACAAAATAGGCCATCCCTTCGACAGGCTCAGCACACAACGGTCCTTGGAACATAGCTAGCTGGAAGCCTGTCTCAACATAGCCCGTGAAATCAACATTATTGTCGGATGTATTTGTGGGTTGAGCTGGATGATTGCGTGAGAGGCGACGCCTTAGCCTGAATACAATATCAGTGACACTGCAAGGAACCACAGGGTGACGCACGATAACGGTGTGGTATCTTTGCGATAATCAATAAGAATGCAGCTACCAGCGTGACGGGGACCAAATGACCAGATTCTGTCGCTGATATTCACCCAATCCCCACCAGCTTCGTTGCACTTTTCTTCTAGTGCACTCCAGAATTGGTCTGCTCTAACACTTGGAGTATGGAGAACATCGCCTTGAACACCGACCGGTTCGCTCTCAGAAACAATGTCGATACTGCTGCCGGCGGTATCTCTGTCTGTGTGACCGTCTTGTTGCAATACTCTGAGAGTCGTTAAATTATGCAGCAAGAATTGTACGATAACATCGGGGACAGGCGCCGAGCGAATCGAAAAGGTGACCAAGTTCTGTGTGCTTGCACCCTTGATTGTTCCACGGGCAGCATTTGGCGTCTTCGAGGGTGCCATATCTATCCTCAAAAGGTGAGCAGCGAGACGATGCACCGGAGACTATGCATACCTTGGCCTTTCACAGCTGTTTCGCGGAAAGGAACGATTGGTTTAGACGCCTGAATCTCCACACGAGCGAATCTCTCTCGCAAGTCTTTCAGACATCTCTGAATAGGGTGAATGGAAGTAGATGACAGTGAAGCAATCAAATCATACCTCCAGGTGTAACTCTCCTGCGGTCAGAATTACATGTTCCCCAGTCTGTTGCTGGAATGTTTCGACGCAGGGATCAGCTTGAGCGAGGAGTTTCATCCCAGCGACAAGTTTGGGCATATCAGAAGGGATGACAGGTTCAAGCGCAACCCGTACAATAGGGGATACCTACGATGAAAATAATGATCGACAGTGAGATCCAAACACTCGCGTGACACTTACCGTGCGAGTAACGCCACCAATGTTGATGAGACTATCTTGCACTTGGACAGGATCCATACCCTCTGGAACGCCTGTGCTTTGTGGTGCACAATTGTGCCATTCCTGTACACCTTGCCTCCCAATCCCTTGATTGCAAAGGTGTTTCCTGCCCTGACACAGTCCACGGGGATAAGCTCCCGGCCCATCATCACGTACAATCCTTCAACCTTGGCCGGAATAAGATGTGCAACATTATGAGCGTGATTTGGAGGAAGGGAGGTGTTATACTTGGGTAGCACGCAGTATATGGTGGAGCCAGTATGTATCGTCCCCGAATACAGTCGTGCAAAGCCGAGGATAATTTCAGACTCCTCAGAAACGCCTAGCGTTTCTCCTAGAGCCGTACTAGGAGGAGATTCTGGGGCTGCACGGGGAGGGTCCGGAGTCTCTGAGACCGAAACGCTGTTATCCCGTGCTTCTTTGGCATCTCGCGCCCGCTGGCGTAGCTCGTCCGCTGTCACAGCCCGTTTTTTGTTTTCCGGAAGTTCTTTGGCTGCAACAGCGAACATTTTGCTTACATATGCAACTACAACCGCGTCTGGCGCGAAGTTGGACGTGAAGAGATCCTGCTCTAACTTGTTCTTGGGCTGTATGCTCTTGTCGAATACATTAGGATAAAGCATTTTGGGGATGCGAATGGCCTGGGCAGCAGGAGGGGAAGGGACGACATCAATAGTCGCTTGAATGATGCACGTTGACAGTGAAAGCCACTGTGTAAAAATCGTGGACAGCAACTGCCGACTGTCTTTTGACCTCAGATCCCGAGGTAAAATCTTCAGATTAAGAGCTGTTACAATCTTGGTCACTTTCTCTGTGTTCCTAGAGACTCATTAGCATATCATGTGGCATCATATGAAAAGATGATGATTACGGGTTCATCACAACGGCATCATAGACCGCCCAGATGTTCTCCAGCACAAATTGGACAAACAATGGCTTCAGTGCGCGTCCACGAAGATGCTTGTGACTGATAACTTTCTTGGTTTTGGGATCGAGATAGAAGTCGCCCCACAAAACGCGCCTTAGATTGGCTTCCTTGAAACCGAGCTTTGCAGAATAAAGCTGGGCGAAGTTCCCAACTCTGAAACCCCAACCATCGATGGCAGACGCAAAAACCACATTACCCCCGCTCCGGAGCGAAGTAGATATCTTCGTCGTCTTTCTCCTTGAAGTCATCTGTGTCATTGGCTGATGCTTCGGCTTCATCCGCAAGTTGATCCTTCTTTTCAGCAAGTCGTCGATCGCGCTCTTCCCTCCATCGGAGATCGTCCTCCATTAATTCACTTGCAAAAAAACTGCCCATAACAGCATTCACTTGTTCGATTAGCCGCGAAAGGTGCTGGTAAGCTTCGGTGGGCACCAGCTTCAGCTCCGTGATAAGTCTATCCATTTTATTGATGACGAGTATCGGGCGGAGGTTATCCTCCCATGCCTGTCTAAGCACAGCAATAGTCTGCACAACTTGAATTAGATGTACTCTGTGTCATAATCAAGCTTACCCACCTGCGTGCACACACCTTCAACAACATCAACGAGGACCAGTGCACCGTCACACAACCGAGACGCTGTGGAGACTTCACTCGAGAAATCCACGTGTCCTGGGGTATCAATCATATTCACGATATATGTCTTTTGGGACCTTTCTGGGCATGTTTATTACTATCCCTTGGCATATGCATCATGGTGAGATGGGTACCTTCGTCAGGTCGCCCCATGACCTGAAACTTGAGCGATACTGCGCTGCTTTCCATCGTGATCCCGCGCTCCTGCTCATCCTCTCTACTATCAAGAAACCTCAATTTCCCTGCCATCCGATGAGAAATAATGTTGTTTGCCGCGAGAAGGGCGTCCATCAGTGTAGTCTTTCCGTGATCGACATGCCCGAGAGTGGTGATTATTCGGACATTAGCTGGGTCTGGGGCCTCCATCGATGTACTTGTTGATTCTATATGTACACTTGCGTGAGCAAGAAAGTGTATGCGAAGCGTGTGTGTGGTCTCTAGAATTAATGATCGCTTTAAAATATCTATGAATCAATTATGACTTGCCGCCGGGTGCACCTTCGGAAGCGAGTTCGTATCAACCAGATAAGGAAATCGCGAAGCGCTTGCCAAGTTGTCTTCAAACATTTACTATGTAACAAGCTAAGCTCCCTACACTAGCAATCGCTTGAGGCTCTGCCTCACCGAGTCGTCTAAACCCTTCCCGATCAACACCAACTTCCCTGAATCAGGAATACCTGTAACATCCCCTTCTACTAAGGATAGGTCATACATACTCTGCACGCCCTGCAGAACGTACTGCTCCCCAGATTCTATCACGAAAAGACCCTTACAGCGAAGGACCTTGAGTTCCGGTAATCCAGTCTGGTGGCTATTATCTGGGATCCGATTCTCCCACAGAACTGTCCGTATCCACTCGTCTAGTTCCTGGAGACGATGGCGGGTTAACGTAGGAAGAGTAACCTGCAGACTAGATATGCCACGCAATTCGTAGTGTTTAGCGGAGACGGCGTGTCCCGCGTGGTCATGATTGTCATCGTCGTCATGTTGGTGTTGTGCGGATCGTAACCCCTTCGTCCCCCCTGCGTATGCATTGATGTTCATGATGTGCGCTAGATCGATCTGACCGCGAACAGTTCGGTGAATTGGAGCGGACGGATTGACCCTTTGTATGAGTTCTTCAATCGAGCGCAATTGCTCTTCTGATGCTAGATCGACCTTGTTCAGTAAAATAACATCGGAGCATGCTATCTGTCTGGAAATGCTGTAAGTCGCGAACCAGATTGAAGATGTGGTCCACATTTACCTGAGGCTTTCGCCAATGCCGTCGACAGAATGATCTTCTTCCATTTGCTAGGGTATAATTTAGCGGAGGAACTTGCACAAGTCAGAAAAGTGACAATGTACCTGTTGACCAAAGACAGCATCAACAACACAGACTACGCCATCCAGGGAAATCTGTCGACCTAAACCATCGGCATACTCCTCATTAAGCCAGAACATGGACGCGATAGGGCCTAGGAGACACAAAAGTTATGTGTGAAACATCGAGAACGAATTATAGACTGCCTACCAGGATCAGCAAGGCCAGTAGTTTCTAGTAGGATATGGTCAAAGGCACCCTTCCTTTGCATAAGTTTCTCAATGGCAGCTACACCAGCGTCTTTGATAGAACAGCATAGACATCCATTTGCCAACTCAAGGAACTCCTGTGAGTTCTCTGCTGTTGGGTCATCTTCCGAAGAGATACTAATAGTTTTAGCTATACTTGATGTTAGCGAGGGACTTCATATCGTTAGGATAGTAACAGAAACCTTCGATGCTCTTCCGATGAATGTTAGACGTAATTATGAGTAGATTAGATCAATGCTCACTGAAGTATCGCCAAACTCATTCATGATCACAGCTATTCGATACCCATGACGCTCCGTCAAAATACGCCTAATGAATGATGAGACAGTAGGTACACGGTGCGCGTGATCCTGAGTATTTCGCATACCTCAACAGGGTGGATTTCCCCGCCCCAAGAAAGCCACTGATGATTGTGCACGGTACTCGACGAGTTGAGGCAGAATCAGGCACGAGCGCTTGATCTTCATGTTCGATCAACATCCTTGTAAGCAGGAATATTAGCAATGCAAACGAGCGACAAACTAAAACATACCGCGAACATACGGTATATCATCATCGAAATCCATGACTTTGATCTTGAATGCTATAACTTTGGGACTCGCTTAAGTGACTGAGTACAACTGAGTTTATATAAGCAAAGTGAACGACCACACAGAGATGTGCTTACTGGTCGAGCGGATCAATCGAGGTTGTAGAACGAAGGCGGGAGCTGGGCGAGATGTGACCGTACTGCTTCCGAATCTTACGGAATATTACTCTTAAGTGGCTTCGGTTTTATGGCACGGTGTTACTAGTACTCAGTACTCATTCATGTCTTTTCCATTCACTATGTCGACACCTTCGAATAGTGTGTTCCCGCTGACGGATGAACCCCTCAAAAACCTGATCCAAGGCCCAGGAGATGTGGAATGGAGGTATGCGCCGCACACATTCTTATGCTACAGCTATGAAAGCGCTCCATTTACCAGGTATGAAATGCGTCGGGAATGTCAAGAGATCATTCCTGGTCTTCTACTAGGCCCTTTCCAAGCATCAAAGTCGCTCGAGGTGCTCAATTCGCTTGGCGTCACTCACATGTGAAGTTCAAACCCTCTTTGGATTGACGGTTCGACTGATTAATCGACGCGTCTCTTATTTTATCCCCTAAATTCTATCCCAAGACTCTGTATACGTGATAAGAAGGAAGCATTCTCCGTGAAACCACGCTTCCCAGAACATTTCGAGTATCTCGTATTGGATGTGGAGGATAACGAAGACCAAAACGTCATTCGTCTGTTCCCGCAGTCTGTATTTGCTGCACGGTATTCCATGAACATGCTAACAGTCAGCCAGAGCTCATAATTTCATTACCGACTCATTGAATAAAAAGGGCACTGTTCTCGTTCACTGCAACGGTGCGCTCTGCGCTTGATTGTTCGCAGCGCCAACTCAGTCCACTTATAACGCAGGCGGGATTTCCCTATCACCTGCATTTGTTGTCATGTTTGTCATGCGTCGCTGTCAGTTATCATGGGAGGATGCTCTTCATCTTGTTCAAAATCGTCGCTACTGTATTTCGCCAAACGGTGGCTTCTTGACACAGATCAAGGTGAGTTTCGTGTCCCCGAGCTTGGTCAGCTTTGCATTCCTGTGCCTCGACCCCTTGTCGTGCACCACAACGAAGCCTTCTGTGAGGAGCTTTATGTTCTTACGTTGTGCCCCAGGAATATGAGTCGATATACAAGGCATCCGTCGCCGTCGCCGGATTTCCGCAAGGACAGATGCAAAGAGTTGTCTCCCGGAGGAAGCGAGATGATGATGACGATGAGGAGGAATTCAGGTGTGTCCGTTTCTGATAATGATACACTGGTCTTTGTGTCCTTTAAGTTTAACAATCCATCAGAGAGGAAGACCGTAAAAGGGTATTCGTCGACGGAGAAGGTGACGATGCGATGGCAACGGATTTGTGACCGTCTTTCTTGGGGCTTTCTTCTTCCTTTGGTTCAATTCTGTTTAGTCTACCACTACCGTATACTTGCTTTTAGAAGCATTTCGTGTTCTATCACGATGAATGAATGGTATAAGTTCTATTGGGGTCCAACATAACCCAGTCGTCAACTGGGTGTGATCTATAGTGACTTGATCTTTGCCTTCTCTTTCTCCTGCAGAACACGCTTTGCATGGACCTCTGAAGAAAGTAATCAAACACAAGGCATCCACAGCAACAAGGCTCTCACCTTTGCGTTTTACCCACGCCTCAACTGAGATGCCCCCAAACACAATGCCTGCGCCTACCCACTGCCCAACGGTGAGTTTATGGTCATAAACTACCACAGAGAGAACCATGGTGAACATCTTTCTTGTCAACGTAATCATTCTGCGAATTTGTGATGAGTAAAGAGCGTGACAGAAATCCCAGAAAAGGATCACGAACACTAAAGTCAGCGATCCAAAATGCTGTAACGTCTCGAAGATGAACAGCTGCCCAAGAGCACCAGTCAAAGAAAACTGGACCAGTGGTACGATAACAGAAGGATGCGTCCTTATAAAACCAATTGCATTTGCAAATTCCGATTGTAAACCGCTCGAGGGGTGAAGCACAGGGATGTGCGGCAAGGGAAGTGTTCCAAGCGTCGTACTCAACAGCGTGCAGAACAGATTGATCCAGAACATCATCTGTTGCCCGGTCACCTTGTACCGAACGAACAACTCATCTTGCGTCGAGTTCACCGCGCCGTCGAGAATGAGGTTAATGACAAGGTAGAGAATGCCAATCAGCTGTCCATAAGACCCTTGCTCGCCATTGGACGAGGCTTTTGATGGCTTTTCGTTCCCGAAGCCCATGAAGACACTGATGCCGGCTGTGACCATTGCGACCACGATGTATTTATGTGGAGCAAAGCGCCTCCTGTACATGACGACATTCATGAGCATCACTGGGACGAGCTTGCAGGACTTTCCCAAGACCATTGTAGGATAAGTTATGTACGAGAGGGCTGCGAAGCCGAATGGAGCGGCTAGTGTGATGAAAGCCGATACTTGGAGGTAGCACAAGAGGAGAGCTTTGGATGTAGACGAAGAAGTGTGCGACGGTGCGCTTGGGGAATGTGTATGGCCGTTGACTTTAGTACTCGAAGATCCGTTTGTTTTGGAATTGGATGAATTGTTCGTTTGTGCCATGGAGGCGAGGTCCAGGCCCAGTAGAGACGATAGTGATGACCCTGATTTTCCACGGATGACTATGTATGCGAGGGCAGACAGCGAGCTCAGAAAGCTCTGACAAGTACCGAGGAAAAGTGCAGACTTAAACTTGTGTGTTGACTGTCCGTCTATGTGTTGGAACGGAACTGATACTAAGAGGCTGTCTTAGTTCTTGCATTGGTTGGTTTTTATACGTTGTACCTACATCGTTCCTGCGCCACAGCCCATAGCTGAGCATAACGCTGGTGAGAATCTGTCTTTTGTCAGAAATAGTGAAATTGACATACTAGAAACATTGAGTAGACTCCGAGAACACACAGTCCAAGCCTGGCATTCAAAGCTCATGAACACGGATGCGGGATCTTTTAGTGAAGGGGCTTACCGAAGGACTGACATTGTACGAGCACGCAAAGTAAAAGTATTGAAACAAGTTTGAGCAATGAGCTGAGTTAGCTGTGAAGTGGTACGTGTCCGAGTCAAAGTAAGACCTAACCCTAAACTAGGATGTAATATCCAAGCCCAACTGGCCACTCAGGGTAAGAATGCCTTCTTTCAAACGGATCACGTCCTCTCTAGTTGGCCTACCCTGCGACGGTCTACTTGTAGCGCCAGCAGTGAGCTTCTGCAGCATATCTTCTAATCCCTCCATCTCTCTCTTCTGCAAAAGTTCCTCACTCTGTCCGACTGGATCATCATTTGCATCAAGATGCTCTCTGGCGTGTTGCTCTGCTTCCTGATCGGGAGGAACGATATCAGAGAAACGAACGCCCGCGAGCGAAGATGATATTTCGCGTGCCGTTGTTAGAGTTGTTGAATCTTCTTGGCTTTTTGAACTCAAGAATGATGTAATCGCAGAGATTACGCCACGCATTGACCCCAAATCACGACCTATCGGAACTCCTACATGCGCGAAACCAGCGTCGAAACCCTCTTGAAGTGCGGATTCCTTGCCTGCGATTATCCCTTCTCGGTATCCAGACTACAGATGGAAATATCAATCAAGAGAAGAATCAATCGCTAATGCGCGTACGTTTGTGAACTCATTGGAGAGTTTTGCCCAGTCTGCTTCAGGAGCATAATCTGCTCGTGGATCTTCCTCCCAGGGTGAATCCATGCTGTAAAGCTGAACTCGGACGAGAAACAAGTTTGAATTGTCCCACCAAGACTTGTACTCAATGGATAAGGTGATCTGACATCTCAATTTTGGGAAATAATTACATATAAGGGTTATCTCTTGACTGAGTCAGCGTGTCTGAAACCCTCTGAAACCTCTGTTGGCGGTGCCACCGCCACGTAGACCATTCCCTCGTTAGCTAGCAAGTCCTCGTTAGCAGCACCATTTGATTCCGGTTGATCGGACCACCGAGATCAATTATACGCATCCGACGCGAACAGCTCAGGATTGTATGTATGAGTCATTGTGATTAGTCAAGATAGGGCCGTCGGGCATCAACTCATACTTCAATGAATACCGGTAATATTCATAGAAACTGATAGAAATTGGATGACTTTGAGGCAAAAAAATTACGTCGCTTCGGGTTTCTACCGGCACAGGTAGGTATCATTGTGTAGAGCATGATGACCAACTACTAGTTGAGATTACTAGTTTTGAAACATGCCGTTGATCTCCACTAGTCAATCCGTAGCTACGTGCGCTAAATGAATTCAAAAAAGTATTTTCTGACTAATTTTACCCATTATAATCGGATGGAAATGTGCGTGGAAAATACGCCACGTCGGCATTTAGTGCCTTGCATAGCTGCGCTTCTTGTCCTTTAACTTTTCTCGAACGACCTTTCCTGCTGTTATCGTTCTTCCTCCCTCGGTTTCGTCCTCGCTACAATTATTCCCTCCAGGTTTCGTCCACTAATGGCTGTCGCGTCCTCATCGGACGTCGCAATACTTGCGCTGGGCGTGGTCCTAGCTGCTGCATATCTTTTTCGTGATTCGATATTCTCCTCGACGCCCAAAGCTGTCCCGGTTGCTCCTTCGAAACTTTCGAATGGCCATGGAAACCCCCGGGATTTTATTGCTAAAATGAAGGAAGGGGTAAGCTATCAGCTTCCAAGCTTCATGATCGCATCAATGTATCATATCTCTGATATCCTTGTCAGAAAAAACGTCTCATCATATTCTATGGTTCGCAAACTGGTACTGCCGAGGAATATGCAATCCGCATTGCCAAAGAGGCAAAAACCAAGTTCGGACTCACATCTCTCGTCTGCGACCCCGAGGAATACGACTTTGAGAATCTAGATCAGGTCCCCGAGGATAGTTGTGTCATTTTTGTCATGGCTACCTATGGCGAGGGTGAACCCACCGATAATGCAGTTCAGCTCATGGAAAGCTTGACCGATTCTGCATTTGAGTTCAGTAACGGTCAACATAAACTCGAGGGCCTCAAATATGTCGTTTTTGGTTTGGGCAACAGGACTTACGAACACTACAATTCCATAGCACGTCAGGTAGATGCTGAACTCGCGAAAATGGGTGCAGTCAGGATCGGCGAGCGCGGTGAGGGAGATGATGATAAGAGCATGGAAGAGGACTACCTAGAGTGGAAGGACACTTTTTGGCCTGCATTCGCTGAAGCTTTGGGTGTAGAGGAGGGTCAGGGTGGTGATACCCCGGATTTCGCTGTTACCGAATTAGAATCGCACCCTCCGGAAAAAGTATATCTTGGTAAGGACCCACTACCCATTTTTGTACGCCTCTTATTTTGGTCTGTAGGCGAACTTTCTGCACGTGCCCTCACAAAGACCAAAGGCATCCATGATGCTAAGAACCCGTACACCTCTCCGGTCAAGGTTTCTCGTGAACTTTTCCAAGTTGGTGGAGATCGTAACTGTGTCCATGTCGAGCTTGACATCGAAGGTTCTGGGATCACATACCAACACGGCGATCACGTCGGTGTCTGGCCTCTCAACCCTGACGTTGAGGTCGACCGTCTTCTTTGTGCACTCGGACTCTACTCCAAGAAAGATACCGTTATAAACGTCGATTCGCTTGACCCTGCTCTTGCCAAGGTTCCATTCCCTGTCCCTTCAACCTACATCAGCGTCCTCCGCCATTATATTGACATCAGTGCTGTCGCAGGTCGTCAGATTCTCGGTGCTCTTGCCAAGTTTGCGCCCTCTCCTGAGGCCGATGCGTTCATGCGTAACCTTAACTCGAACAAGGATGAGTATGCAGCTGTTGTTACGAATGGATGTTTAAAGCTTGGCGAAATCCTTCAACTGGCTGCAGGCAATGACATCAATGCCTACCCTACGCCCCAGAACACCGCTGCCTGGGCCATTCCCTTTGATATCGTCATCTCGTCGATCCCTCGTTTGCAACCCCGCTATTACTCTATCTCGAGCAGCCCCAAGCTCAACCCTACCTCTGTGCACGTGACGGCTGTTGTTCTCAAATACGAGTCCATTGCCAACAAGCTCATTACTCCTCGTTCGGTATATGGTGTTGGCTCAAATTTCTTGCTTAATATCAAACACGCCGCTAATGGCGAAACCCCTGCCGCTAGCGAGGAACTTGAACACGTGTCGCTGCCGGTGTATGCCATCGAGGGTCCCCGCGGGGCACACAAGGCTGAGGACATTTACAAGATTCCTGTCCACGTTCGCCGTTCTACGTTCAGGCTACCGACAAACCCCAAGAGCCCTGTAATCATGGTTGGACCTGGCACCGTAAGTCTATTTGTCAAAGTACTTTGTAGCTTTCCGCTCACAGATACGGCTCAGGGTGTTGCGCCATTCCGAGGGTTCGTCCAAGAGCGTGTCGCTCTTGCCCGCCGAACACTTGAGAAGAACGGCGATGATGCTCTGGCAGACTGGGGTCAAATCTCACTCTTCTACGGTTGCCGTAAGTCAACGGAAGACTTCCTCTACAAAGACGAGTGGCCACAATACACTGCTGAGCTGAAGGGCAAGTTCACGATGCACTGCGCATTTTCGCGGGAACCGCCGTACAAGGCCGACGGTAGCAAGATCTATGTGCAGGATCTCATTTGGGACGACCGGAAGAATATCGCCGACGCCATCCTGAATGGGAAGGGATATGTGTACATTTGTGGTGATGCCAAAGCGATGAGCAAGGCAGTGGAGGAAATTCTTGCACGGATTTTAGGCGAAGCGAAGGGTGGGAGTGAGGCAGATGGCGCGGCCGAGATCAAGCTGATGAAGGAACGCTCACGGTTAATGTTAGATGTCTGGAGCTAAAGGGTATTATTGGTTCAGGTTGCTTATTTGCCAGCTCATGACACGTCAACACAGTGTGACACGACACTCTGATATTATATTGCAATAGATATTTGTAAACTGCATGAACATTTGTCGTTCCGTTGCACTCTTCTTGCAGCTTATGTACCGGTGTTAGTCTCCCATAAGCAAGATAGTTGTTCCTTCAGGCGCTACTCGGATCTGTCATTTATCGGCGCGGCTCGGAACCAGTGTCTGTCTTTTGTGATTTTGGTCTAGGCATCATCATGTTGCGGACTAGGGCTTGGAGACCAGCGAACAATCTACGCACTTTCTCTCATTCATGTCTGCGCCATAATGCGCAATCAACGAGTTCTCTGTCTCCGGGGCCATCAAATGTTGACTCACATGCCCAACCACAACGGGAAACTCATGCTAACGCGCCTGAGGGCGTCGGATATCCACCCGGAGCTGCGTCTACTGGTCCAAGAGTTCAGCCTGCCGACTCTCCTCGCCGATTCAACTGCAAAATATCCGCATACGATCTAGACACCATCAAACAGCGCATCGAAGATTGGATGGTACTTGCAACTGCTGGATTCAAGCAGCAAACAGACGAACTCCGTCAACGCACAGACAAGTTCACGCAGAAGACGTCCACAACATTTTTTCAATTGGGCTCTCAACTCAACCGCGTAACGGGCTACGAGCAGATCGATGCGCTTAAACAACGGGTAGTCGAACAAGGTGTGCTGCATTCCCTTACTGTGTCTGTGCTACAACTGAGACTTATGTTGACCAAGAGGCTAGAATCAAGGCTACTCGTCAAGCAGCTCGAGAAGCTAAGACAGCGTATGATGATGCTGTCTTACAGCGTTCTCTTTCCCAGCGCCAAGTGAATGAGCTCTTGCAGCGTAAATCTTCGTGGACAGACAGCGACGTCAGCGCCTTCACTTCTCTCGTGCGTTCAGATCACCACCTGGAACAGCACGAGGTCGCGACGAAGGCCAAGGTCTCCGAGAATGAGGATGCGTTGGATAGAGAGTTTGGAGAGCTCATGCGTGCCATTCTGGCTAGGTACCACGAGGAGCAAGTGTGGAGTGACAAGATCCGAAGTGCGAGTACCTATGGGAGTATGATGGTGCTTGGGGTCAATGTGATGGTGTTCATACTGGCGATCGTGGTGGTTGAGCCATGGAAGAGGCGGAGACTAGCGCAAACGTTCGAAAAGAAGGTGGAAGAAATGGCTGCGGAGACCCAGGCTTTGATAGAGTCTGGGAGCGCGAAATTGGACGAGCAGTTGATGAAGCAGGAGCGATTAATCTCAGAGATTGTGGAAAGGGCGGCATACGATGCTCGAGATCTGCCTAGCTCGTTGCCAGTGCCAACCGTGACGGTATCTGTTGCTGGGAAACAAGTGGGCACTGGGCCGGAGCACTCGTCAATATGGTCGCATCCGGTATCACGAATGGTCCAAGAACGGGAGGTACTGCTTGTTGTGGGTAGCGCTATTGCAGGTGGTGCAGTCACTCTTGTGGCCCGAAGTCTTTTCGGAAGTTAGTGTTGGTGAGAGGTTTTGCACACTTATGCGGGCCGACTCCTCCCACCGACCAGCATTTTTGAATACCATGGCGACGCTAGTATGCCTAGTCGTTTAGATCTGGACCCTATACACCATGCCCCATTGCTATGACTTGCAAGCACCATACGTCAATTTGACATGACTGTCCCACGATAGGGGCTAGGCTGCCTTTAGAAATTCACGTGACTTAGACCTTGACAAATCGCTTTCCTGGATAGTGTAGTGGTGCCGCCCGTTGTGCTAGCTGCCATGAAGGTCGTTACCACCTTTCACCCGGCCTCATCTGTCGTAGATTCGCTCAAATTTAGGTTTAAAGATGAGCAACCCTCAGAGTTTCTTGTCGTTGCAAAGCCAAATAGGCTTGATATCTATGCGCTACTTCCAGAAGGACTCCGTCATCAACAGGGTCTTGATATCTGGGGAAGAGTCAGAGTTATCAGAGCTGTGCCAGTCTTGGTGAGCAACAACCTGCAAATAACACATCCGTAGTGTCATATTGAGACCATGGGACTCCTTTTCTAGAGCAGGAGCAGTATCAGCCTGCTCGTGCTTACTGATCACCCGGAACCAGAGCTTATATTCCTATCTTTTACTGTGAATGGCGCAGGATCAACGGGGATTACTGTCACGAAATATCTCTCATTGTTTGAGCACAGTGCTCGGCCAGCAGAATTCTGCCACACTCTTCTAGTCGATCCTTCAGGGGGTGTGGCTGTCGTGAGTGCGTACACAGGCAAGCTCAAGGTCGTGGTGCTTGACCAAGACGGAGGATATGACCGTGACTTTGATGCATCGTATGTTGTGGCATTATTCGCGCTGATTGTGCTCACGCTTTCTCGTCAGGATAACTGAGCTCAACCTTCTGGACATTACTTTTGTATCAACATCTCGGGATATGTATACCTTGGCAATGATGCACATCGACTACCAACAACGCCTCCAGCTTCTTACTCGTGACCTTTCTATTGAGGACCTCCAACTTTCCCCGTTACCCTCGCCACTCCTTCCCTCACTCCCTGTCCCAGGCAAACTGTTTAGTACAGTCATGGACGACGATGGAACCCCTACTATCATATACATCCCCTCCTACAAGGATGACGACGATGATTTTGAAGGCGGTATCCTCATTATTGGTGGGCGAAAGATCATGCTGTATGATTTTGTGGACGTCGAAACACGGGCGAAGAGGGAGAGCAAGAAGAAACGTGCAGATAAGAGGAAAACTACTGGAGATGCAGAAGCAAATAATAAAGAGAAGGGGGTGGAGTGGAAGAAGAGGAAAGCTAGAGCCGTAGTAGAATGGCCATGGGCAGAAGTCACTGCGTGAGTTCCGTTTGTAGAACCGAGACTGAGGGCTCACTCGATGTTAGATGGTGTCGTGTTGACGATAAGGAGCGGAAGTACTTGATTGGGGACCGCTATGGAAGGCTCGCGTTGCTTTCGATAAACCTTTCTGGAGGCACGACGCTGACATTGATGGCACTCGGAGAGGTAGGTCTGCTCGTGTCCCGCTGATCGTTCTTGTGCTGATCGTGTTCAATAAGACGTCTGCATCAACCACATTAACCTACCTTGCTAATCAAGTTTTCTATAACGGCTCGCATTTTGGTAGCTCGCAGTTGCTCCAGATTACCACTACTCCATCTTTTGCGCTCGACGCCCCCACATTGCCTGTTCCATCCACGATATCGACCATCAACCCTAACGCTCTCAACTCCTATATGTCAGGTAGAGACAACGACGTATCGGGTTATATCGTCGTTGGAATGGGGAGTTACGTCACCGAGCTGGAGTCCTTCAACAATCTCGCTCCAATACTTGACGCTGTGTTGATTGACACAGATGGCAGCGGACAGGTATGTCGAATGACTGTCTACTGACTTTGTGGGCTGAAGTGACGCAGAACGAAATTGTAACATGTTCTGGTGGCAGAAGCACGGGGAGCATCAAAGTCATACGGAGTGGCGCTGACTTTTCCGAGAAAGCGATAGTCCAGGGGCTCGGGAATGTCACCCATATCTGGCCATTGAAAGAGATGTACTGTGCACCGTAAGTTTTTCATTCGTCCCGACATCTTTCAGAACCGCTGACGATGTAATTAAGCGATTATGCACACGTTGTGGTCTCAACTCTGCAGGAAACGCACGTTTTTCGTTTTGACAATGCTTCATCAATCTCCAGTATCAACGGTGACAAGAACACCGGTTTTATCACCGATTTACCTACCATCGCAGTCTCAAATATCCTTCGACGCACGCGCAACGCGGAAAACAAGTCCGACTATCTAGACTCTAGGTTTGTTATACAGGTCGTTTCGAAGGGCCTGCTATTGCTTGAGTATGACCCCGGCGTGCGACAGTACTCGAGAGCTACCGAACTATGGACCTTGGAAAAGTTCGCGGATCCTGGTAAGGAGGGACTGTGGAAGGGGCGAGAGATTGTAGCTGCGAATGTCAATGCGAGCCAGGTTGTGCTTGCACTCAACTGGGGGAGGGTTGTGGTGCTGACTCTGAATGTGGATGAAAAGCGATTTATTAAGCTGAGGTGAGTATGAGCATCTAGGCGAAGATTTGACTGATTGTTTGTGCGTCATTTCAGGGAGCGCAACTTTGTGCACAATAATCGTGATGCGGAGATTTCAGCAGTTTCGTGTCTTCCGCAGGATCCAGCCAAGCCCTTCGCGTTAAATATTGTGGTCGGATTCTGGACATCTAAGCATGTCGAGATACTCTCACTGAGACCTACAGATGGAACCATGCCCACAATTGCAACGACCCCTGTATTCTCCTCTGCACCCCGCTCACTGCTGTTGTACAATTTCACGTCTGGTGACTCCAAGCTGTCAAATGTACACCTACTCATTGGGCTCACGGATGGTTCTATCGCGTCATTTGTGTATCGAAATGATCAACTACTTGACCAGAAAGTGGTTTCCATTGGAAGTCTTCCCGTAACAATGCGTTCGTGTCGGATCGGTACGAGACAAACAGTGCTTGCATGTGGAAGCCGGACAGCCATTTTATTCTGGGAAAAAGAGAGGTTGATGTATTCGCCACTTATACTCAAGGTATGTGACACTTTTCTCGACATTGTTCTTGATCAACCAGTTCGTAGGATGTGACAGCTGCAGCGGAATTGAGTACAAGTGCTTACCCATCGTCCATAGTCCTTGCCAACTCCGATGGCCTGGTCTTCGGGAACGTGAACAACTTCGATAAATTGCATATTCGCTCTGTGGGTTAAAAGACTTACCTTTCTATTGGAGTCCAACTGACAGTTAGTTCTCAGATACCTCTCGGCCTCAATAATCCCTTGCGCGTTACGCATATTCCTGCGCTTAGAATTTTTGCCGTCGCATGTCGTTGCGTAACCCCGGCTCGTATCGGCGATTTGGAGGATATCAGGGGCTCCATACAAGTCTTTGACGACATATCGTTTAATAGTGAGCCAAGTCCACACACAAAGAAGTTTCCTGATGCATAAGACATAGAGCTCGGGCATTTCAATCTGGAGCAAGGCGAGGAACCGACGTCAATGCTGTCCTTCACAACGAATTCCGGATCGTATCTGTGTGTAGCAGCGGTGACACTCGAAGATGAAGACACCGAAGCCTCCAAGGGACGCATCTTTGTTCTGGAAATGACGTCGAACGCATTGCAGGTAAACATGTCTGTCGCAACATCGTATGACGTCAAGGGATGTCCCTACGCTTTGACTTCCGTGAATTCTATGATCGCTGCGGCAGTTAATAGCATGGTAATGAATCAGCCTATAAGTTGTATATGTAGCCACTTATTTGCCCCGCAGGTCGTTGTCTTCAAGATGGACACTGGGAGCGGAAATATGATAATGGCGAAAATAGCAACCTGGAACCCCAACTATCTAGTGACAAGTCTCGTGTCTCGCGGCGATATCATTCTGTTAGGTGATGCAATCAGCTCGATCTCGATGTTGCGGCTCGAGGACAACCGACTGCACTTGATTGCCAGAGATTATGGCGCACTATGGCCCACCTGTGTCGAGCTCACAAGCAACTCCACCTTGATTGGTGCAAATGTAAGCCGAGGTCCATCGTTTGACGCTGTACACTCAATCTGTTGTGTTCAGAGTGAATACAACCTTTATACATTCAGTCTCCAGAACTCGGGCACGCGGCAGCTCCTGGAAAGAGACGGAAATTATTTCCTTGGGGACTTGGTCAACAAGTTCCTGCCTGGTACGCGTACCCCTTATCGTGACTTTCCCATGCTTACGCATATTAGGTACACTGTCGTCTCAGGAGGTTTCGCTCGATGCGCCGATGCAGCCCCAACAGTTGTTCTTCACGTCTGCCGGCCTTATCGGTGCGATCATCGATCTTGCCGATGACCTTGCATTGGACCTCACTGGCCTTCAACGTAACCTGTCTAACTATATCCAGAAACAGGAAGGGCCGAATCACACAAGGTGTGTCATGAGCCGTTACTTTCAATAATCACTCAATTCACTTCGCACATAGGTACCGCACGCCAAAGAATGTCCGCGGTCGCAGTGACGCGGATGCGTCGTCTTTCGGGTTCCTCGATGGCGACTTCCTGGAGCGCTTCTTACAGTTTGTGGGAAACCCGCAAGCGCTCAAGCGGATCATGGATGGACAAAGTGAGCCGGAAAAACTCACGATATCGGCGGACAGGATTCAGAAGGTGCTTGAGAGCATGCAAAGCATGCATTGATCGAGCGAGGGGATTAAGTAAAGTTGCATTTGATTACTCTAAACCAACTACCAACTTCATTAAACCATCGAATGCGAATATCCCTTGATAAAGCTAACAATCGACTACTGGCAGCGATGTGATAGTTGTATCAAACGAACGGATGGTAGTTGGAATAAGGAAGGTGAGAAGGTAGCCGCATGGGCGTAGTACTCGTATTCCTACGACCAGAGGGCCGCATACAGCTGTGAGACGACAGAAAGGGCCCCGACGTCCCCAACCACAACAATGTCTTCCTGGTCATTAGAGTTGCGCGGAGCGAAATAAAATCCGGAAACAAGGACAACGTAGCTGTGACACATCAGAACGTCGTACAATATAACCCAAGATTAGATACTTACCTCAAAATGAGGATACTTCCACGGTGGTAATTACTCTTGGCCTCGATATAGGTATAGGTCATCAGAAAGACGGACAAGATGATCGCGATGACATCCCAGCGCGGGAATACGAGCCTGGAGAAATAAAAGGGTAAATGGATTTACTATTGACAGCATCAAGAGCATGTTTTAATACGCACGTAAATGCATATGCGATCTCGCCCATTTTGTCGGGCGCATACCAAGCGGAGAACGCAACCATGGCCGGAACCTGGAGCAGACAGACCTGCAAGGCATAGGCAGAGCCGATCTCAACACTGGGGAAGAAAGACCATAAGCAATTAGGTGTGAAGGGAGACAAACAGACCAAAGTGTACCTTAACGAGATATTTCCGTTCAGGGCAAACGAGATAGCATTCATGAATTCCGTAGTATTGGGCACCAGCGCGAACAAAGTGATTCCCAAGAACTTTTCCTCGATCCCAGAGTCTTTCAGGACGACATCCACCATATCCACAAGGAGCTCTAGTGCCCCGATTAATCAGCGACTACAACAAAATCGGGAATGAAAACATAGACGTACCGGCAATGGCGGCATATAAAGCCGTACATGACAGCAACACTGCCGCACTCGTAACACGGCTCCACTCTGGGGCCTCATGTCCATGAGCCGATCCATGTTCCTCCTCAGCCACGCTTGCGCGGGCCGCCCGAGTATGCGCGTGCTGGTGGCGAAGGGCACTGACAGTTGCGACAGCTACTGCACGCGTAAAGTCATCGGTAGACATACTAGAGGGCAGGGGCAGGGCACCGGTAGACTTAATGGCATGGTCAACGGACTCAAGAAGAGGTGCGTATTGTGTTTGAGATTGGGCGCTTTGGGGAGTGGTGTGCGGGGCGTAGGAAACACGTCGAAGCATCGAAGGGGAAGTGAGAGACACCGTATTCGCCGTTGGAATGGTAAGATGTGGGGCCGGGGTCTGAAACCGGGGATCGTCCTCCAGTCGCATTCGTTCACCGGACCCCTCCGGTCGCGGACGTGGCTCGCGAATAGTCGATGGAATCTGTGACGGAGGGGATTGCGCTGTACTTCCTGTGGTTGCACTGGAGTGTGCACGGTTATGTTGGTAGAGTGGGAGACGAGATGGATTCGTGGTCGGAAGGTCGAGAGGCTGCAGGAGTGGTTGTGGGTTCTGCCATATCTGAGTGGCATGTGTGCGGAGAGAAAACCACAGGCCTATCAGATACGACTACGGCGAGTATAAGGAATTATGAATGTTGTACACATCAAAATAGAGAGGGAAACTCACAAACAGTAAAATCACAGCACAGAAGTACATGAGACTCTTCACTGTAGACTGATAAAATGGATCTTCAACAGGGTCCGGGTGCTGGTAGTAGCACTGGTCGCATTTCCACTCAGACGAACCGCGGGAGCCGTCAGGACATCCGCTACAAATTAGCTGGAACTGTAAGCAGGGTCAATATATGTTTCCTGCCGGAAAGACACATAAAGGGAGGAAAAGACTTACACTCCCATATGTTTGATAGAACAATGTCGGTGTTAGCGTTCCAATAAATGCCATGATTAACATCATGCTCGTTACGCCTGCGCTCTTGGCATTGAACTTCATTTCCTTCTTCCTCAACGCACCGGCGCACATACTCATACCGGGCATCAGCAGTACTCCCGCTAATAAAGATCCCACGATAGAACCTTCGACGAGACGCCCCTTGCCTCGGGTCAGCGCGATAGAATAGAGGACGACTTCGACGACACTTCCAAATGTGGCATTGATAACGGCGCCCATGCCGATAGAGCTTTGAGCGCTGATGCTCGCCACAGCCATGCCAATGAAGTAAGAGAGAGGAATTACACTCGCAAGGCTCATAAGGAAAATGAGTGCCTTTGAGGCAACGAGGGCGAGAATGCGAGGGACATGCTCGCCTGCATCCTCCAGTTCCTCTGCCATAGGCATGAGCACGAATCCATCGAGGATAACGAAGAAGACAAGCGGGAGGAGATTGACGAAAATGATATTAACGCCTCCAACAGTGTATTTGTAGTATTGCCACCCAACAGCACGATAGACGCATAGCAGTACGGTGCTCTTATGGCCAGACGTAGAAGGGACAGCCTGACCAGCCGCGAGGCGGGGTGTCTTGACTGCACTGGGTGGGACGAGTGGCGCAGCACAGAAGCGTATCCGGGTAGGAGATGTGAATATGTATTTGATGAGAGCCCAGTTGAGCTTGGCCATTGGGACAGTGATAATGAGTGCCCAGCAGGCAATACAGGTGAGCAGAAGGAGTGGGGCAACGAGCGTTATGAATAGGATCCAGAAGATGGCCCTGCCCAACCAGTCAGCGGAGATTTTTTCATACGGCGTGTGGTCGGTCGGGCTTGGGGCAGCTCCGTAAGATTTGGAGGGAGCTGGAGGCCGGAGGAAAGTTTGTTCGCTATTAGTATTTGGAGTGATGGTGGGCGTGCGAGAGAGGGACTGGTTGGCATCGACAGTGCCAGCGCTACAAATAGGCCCAACATCCTCAGGTGAGATTGTGCCTTCTTCGTCATTGCCCTCAGCATCCCCTTTGACATACTTGCCAAATGGCCATGCGAGGTACCAGCCCAGACCGAACATGAGCACAGCATAGCGTTTGCCACCAAGTGGAACAAGACACAACAAAGCAGAGACAGCGAAGCAGGCCAGTGCAAGCCACCAGCCAAAGCAGATAACCCAGAAAATGTTTCCCGGGAGGAGGTGGCGCTCTGCCTGAGCAGAAGGGACGGAGTGTAGCGCAGCATCCGCATGACGAGTGACGGAGCGCGATTTCTTGTACAATGCAGGTTTCCAAATGGGCAAACCAAAAGGATGCTGAACGTTGATGAGCGACTGACGATCTTTGACCGTAATTGGATCATCATCATCTCTGCTGTTTGAGTCGTCGCGTTCCGAGCCTGTCTCTCGTTCTTCACTGTCCCCTTCTTCTTCCCCTTCCCCCTCCTGGTCTTGTGAGGATGCAATGCCTTTGCCACGATCTCTGCTTCCCCCAACGCCTCTATTATTTGCATTATCTTCATAGCTAACCTCTTCATCCTCGCTGAGCACGCCATCATTATCCCTGATTGAACGGCGAGGGTGACGAGAGCTGCTGGTACTGGTGCTGCGGGTGCGGTTGTTTGATAAACTACGGCTAATGGATGGCTGGGGGTACAATGCCCGCGGCGTCGGTGATGAGGAAGAAAAGTAGGATGTCCCTACATTATGGTGCGTTGGTGTCTCAGTGGGTGACCAGTGCGAACTATGGCTTCTGCTGCGGTGGAGATGGAGGTGACTGGTTGGAGTGGGCGTCGTGGAGAGTTCTTGGTTGTCATGGTCGTCCATAGTTCACTGGACTTGAGTTTGGGACGCACTTGCACAAGCAAGTATTCTAGTGTTCCTACCGCCTAGTAGTAGTCTCTCGTGACGAGGCGGGTCCAATGCAAGGAAGAACCTCAGTAAAGACAAGTTCGATTACGTTCCTTCTGGATTAGGTAGATCTATATATATCTAACATATACCGTGCCCACTTAGTACAAGACGTCCGGGTCAGAGGACTCCCGCCGTAGCCTCAAAAATATTAGTAGATCGTTTGACGCTGCAACTTGACGCTGCAACTCGAAATGGACCCTACCGTAATTTATAATCGAAGAAACAAATGATAGCTGATAATTTGAAGTACTTCTTTCTACAATTTGAGCAGGGTAATATGTCACAAGATAATTTGGATCTGCACTTAGACACTCAGTACTCAGCTGCAGACTCCATCGAGGTGTTTAATACTGTTTTTTTTTGCTCTCCAACTGCAGCTCACGGTAATCAGTGTTTTTACCTCTGACGGATTGTCTCGGATCGGAGGGACTGCCTGCGGTCATTATCGCGGATCAAGGTCATGGCCCCTCAAAGACCTTGAGGTACTCTTCCGGACTTTCTGAATCACGGTAGTTCTGCGCAAACGAATTACAATTTCATTTCATTGAAAACCCGTCACGTTCCACAAAAAATATTGGGTCGTGGTGATACAGATGCAAATATGCAACCTATGTAACTTTAACTTACCCTAGGATCGTCCCCTGAAGTTACTGTTCACGTGTTGACACAGCTGCTGACAATGATGTGGTACATGATATTTGGTTTTTCATCTCACCAACATTCCGTCAACGTTGTACATCCCTAACCAATATCGACCAGCCCATACTCAAATACACAACCTCCATTTCTGACCTTACATATTTCATTGGTTGCAATTGTTCCCCCAGGGGGCTACTCATGCATTTTCGTGTGTTGACAGTGTGTTCGCATTCCGTCGTCTTTGCCCCTTTCACCAAGCAACACATTTTTTCTTCTTGGCACATACCCAAGTCCCAAATCTAACAGGAGGAATTCACGTACTTGTTGTGGTTCTGTTCGGGGCTCAGCCTGGGCCAAGCAGACTACAGCTTTATCCTCACGGAGCTCACTATGCAATCATGCCTTGAGATACTTACTTTACCTCGTGGTATATCCATATCAACACACTGTACGTTGTCTCTTCCCTCGATAGAAGTTTCCTAGATGCTTCATCGCCTGGCCAAAAGTCTCACAGACTGCCACATCATCTCTTAGCCATTGCGGTAGTTTCCCACGAATCGCAGGCAACGTGAACCGCCGATCAATAAGCATGAGAGAAGCCCAATCGCCACGGTGTCGGATGGCTCGGCCTTGCGCAGGGCTTAGTAAGCGTTTTCAATATACAATTGTCGGACGTGCTCACCTATACTTTGATTGACTGCGTTCATGCACATGTTCTCATACATTTCGGCTGCTGCATCTTTCCCGCCAGCAGGCCTCTTTATACCGGATCGTGCCTCGGTTTGATTCGCGTACCGCATGCGCTTCCTGCAGCTCTGGAGAATTTTTGTTGGCAAAAGGCAACCCAATTACAACAACTAGCACGAGCGAGATCATCTGAAAAATTCAGCCCTTCTGATAGCTTGGCACCGACAACTGCAAACAATACCGCGCCAGTCTTCTTATCTAGTAGCGTCTTCAAAAGAAAATGATCATGATGGCGGAGAAGTTACAGCTCGTTAGACTTACATGTGTTTTGGCAGCTATAGCATACTCCCGCAGGATCATTTCAACTCCTGAATTCTCCTGGGGTTCCAAGAAGACCTAAACACATAGTCAATAAGCCGTCTCCTATTATTTAGAGACACTTACTTTTTTCTTCACGCTGAATTTGTCCAGTAATCCACTCTGGCTCCAAGCTTCTCTTGCAAAATTCAATGATGCATAGGAAGGGAAGAAGACAACTATTCCTCCAGGCACGACGTTGCAGAAATTCATTACGATTTGACCTAACTCGGAGACGACCTGCCGATTGCTCTGCTGCGCGAACTTGAACTCCAGGTCCAAGCCTGAAGGCCCCTTCGTAAGCAACAATGTCTGCACGTTAGATGCCGGGATAATATGACCACAAGAGAAAGTCGTCAGCCTGTTTAGAGGCAAGTACGTGAAAAGCTCGGACACTACAGCGGAAATCTATCTCCGACGTCACTGCATTGCAAGAAACTGTTAATGGAAGCTACTTACCGGTGACATGGTCCCACCAGCAAGTACTACTGAACGCGCCACCTCCACGACATCGCGGAACAACGCCGATGGATTCAACAACTGGTATTTGATCTCAACAGCGTCTCCAACAGCAGAGAAGATAAGTCTCCCGTCTATAACAATGATGAAAAAGAAACAACTTCGGCGCAGCTTAGCTCACCTTCACTTGCGCCCGCTAGTCCCAACATCAGTCCTTCAATCGTATGCAGTGGCGGTGTGGCTACACCCGACGAATGTCTCCCAGGTTTTTCCCCTGCAAACTCAGTGATATGATTGGGCCCTTGTCAGGGTGTACAAACCTTCAGAAACGTCGACAGCATAACGAGATATCTTCCGTGCTATCTGCTAGTAATCAGAAAAAACACTTAATCAAGTTAGTACAACGTACTTTGCTTCGCTTAAGATACGACTCGATCTCGAGGAGATTGATACCCTCGACCTTTCTCCCGAGCCTCTGGATGAAATCTGGCACAGTCATGACTTCAGTATCTTGACTTTTAGATTTAGCGCTCAATTTCTGAGCTACCCAATCCATTGCGACTCTCTGGAATGCATCCAGGAAATTAAGAAGCCTCTTCAGATGTAATGCGTGCATTGCGGACAACCGGTTGCGAAATTTTTGGTAATACACTGATACCTGTTTCAATGAGGTCGATAGGATATTGGATGTGAGGCGGACACTCGAAAGTGACAATAGAGTTGGTATCAAGTCTGAGGGAAATTCAGCCACTATAGAGGGCGGTCTATGTGGGATGCATACTATGCGCTTCATCAATGATGATGACTTGGTTAGTCAAGTCGATTCCCAGGGCTTCTCGGGCGGTCTTTTGCAACAACAGGTTATAAGGCAGAGTAATAAGCTGCAAATTCAGCATGAGATCCAGCAAGGCACATCAGCGGGATTACTTGCTGACCTCTGCCTGGGGTATCGCTCGTCTAGATCCGTAATAAGGGCAAGTCTGCGTATTTTTCCCAGCAGTGGCAAGGTCTTCTATGTCTTTCGACGATGCCTTGAAAAGAACCCATCAGCATCGTTCACTCAAACGCACCACCTTCACTAACCAGAATCTGATCTCGCAGATCAAGCATGCGGGTGTCATCACCCACCGGAGGCAAATATTGACACCGTTTATTTTGCTTTCCTGTGAGAATATCCACGACGGTTAATGAACACTTGAGTATTAACTGGTCTGGTACCTTCCAATAATTCCCGGCATTTCTCGTCTATATCTCCCGGCCTTGACCTTGCGTCCTCGTTGATACACAGCTGTTTCCGAGATCCAAGGGATACGGTGCGCCACTGACGCTGACTAGCTTCGCACTTATCACTATCGACATCCTCGAGGGTCCGTTTCTTTTGGCAAGAATCGCGATCAGCTCGAAACATGTTTCCCACTGTGCTCTCATCTGGAACAGCACTGCCCAAAGCGAGGTGTTTGAACTTGAGTTTGGTCAATTCGGGCAGGACCTGTGAAAGTTGTGAATGTGTGCGAGAAGCATAGTATATTTTCGTGCAGGACGGCTCGTCTCTTTGAGAGGCTGAATCACGTTTGTTATTCTTGTCCATTCTGTTTGTACACGTTAGTTCTGTCTCACATCAGCAAAGTTGACCCTGACTTTGCCATCAGAGCGCGAACAGCGGGGGAGAAGTTATCTTGGCTGTCTTCACAGTCGTCGTCTGGAAGATATGCGTCCCCGTCGACATGGCCTTGGACAAGGTCGACTGCCACGCGCTACTTGGATGGAGTAAGTAGGTTGAGCCCAAATGTGAATATTGAGCATACGCACTTGCTTTTTGGTAACCCGTGCCCGAGCCAGCATACGAAAATGAGCCTCGGTCTTCCGAGCTTTGGCGAGGCGGTCCTCGTATTCTTTATCCTCTGCTTCCAATTCGCGCTTCCGAATATCGAGAGCCTGAGCTGCTACCCATGACGGCGCTGATGTGGCTTTAGGATGTTGCTTGCAAGACCTACAGAAACCTACCACTGACCGGCACTCGAGAGGGACTGCTGCAATAGCTGGCCTTTGCGCGCGCGGTCTTTCTCATCCACAAGCCACGACAAGCTCGAGCACAGCAGACTCAGGGTCTTACCCTGACTCTCTGCGTCAGAAATTTGCCGGTCAGCTGGTACAAACACTCACGGTGCCCGTAGGACTCTCCACGATGGTGACCTGCCTTTTTTCGATTGATGTATAGACGTGACTCATCAAATCTATTTGTATCGAATACGGCGGATCATACGGAAATGCTGGGAAACTGCTTGGAGTGGGAAGGACGAGGTCATCGCTTGTCCATGCCGAACAGTAGTACTCGGAGACGCTCGGACGCGTGACCTCACGTGTTGTCACTTCACTGGCACTTTGAAATTTCACCGGTGCACCACGAAGCAGTGATATGGAGATAGTGGAGTGTGAAACGGAGCTGGGTGATTTATAAGATGATGTGAAGATGTAGTACACTGTGTCTGGAACTAGTGCATATAGTGGAACATTGCGGATAGTAAAAACAAAGGATGGATGTAGCCAAGCGTAGGTGTGGCAGTTACTACTTAGATAGGTAGAGTACAGTGAAAATCATACAACTTGAACTCTTGGGGTATGGTGACGAGCAAGCTCAGTAGAGAGTGTAATGTTATCATCACGTCGGACAATACGCCAGTAACCAAATCTTTGCTGCACCGTATTCCTCTTTGACGCGTTTCAGTAGCGAAGTCACTTCTTCAATGGCCTTGTCTGTAGGTGTACCCTTAGCCGTGTTCTGTATCTTCTCGCAAGTCAATGAAACCTGCTTCACGCCCAGCGCGGCTGATGAACCCTTCAGAAAGTGACCTAGTTCCGATATTTGCTTCAAGTCTTTGTTCTCCCTGTGTTAGAAAAGTCAGATTCTAGAGGCTCTCGGTCATTCCAATAACAAGAAGACATACATGGCTTGATCCATCTTATTAAATGTGGAATCGACCTGAGCAAAATAGTCGGCCACCATCCCTGATGCAAAATCATCCTCATCATCCAACTCGACTATCTGGTTGAAGACTTCCATATCGATTATATCTTCTTGACTGGGCTGGTGGTACGATCAGTGTTCATCATCTACAAGGCAAACAAGATAACAAGATGGGCAGGGGCTAAGCGCGGGGTTCCCGGGGAACGCTCTGCTTCCAAGTGCATGCATACAAGCCACTTCAAGCTGGCGACATACCTTGCTCTCCTTCTTCTCAACATCCTTCAGGTCGTTCTTCTCCTTGGGTGCAGTAATCGGCAAGCCTGTCTTTGGCGTTGGCTCTTCCGAGGCAGGCCGCGATTTGACGTCCAGCTTCTTCTGTGGTGGGGCTTTGTCGGAAGGAGACGGTGGTGGACGCTTGACAATGTCATCAATGATATTCGGCGAACGAGCACGCAGAGCAGGAGACATGAAGAGAATCCTGGTCTTGTTCACTGACAAAAGACAGCGTTCTGAAATAACAATCGGGGGTAGCGGCTCTAGGACGTCAGGCCGTAGGGATTCGGGGCTATGCTTAAAGTAGTTTACTGATTATCTGTTGCCGCCGCAGTGCCGCTGCCAAATATGTAGCATCATTGACAGATTCACGATTTCACTGGCTATCTGAGCTAGATCGTCATCTCATTTTCTACATAATAACCCCCTAGCCGGCGGACCCGCACCCATAACCCAAACTCTCAACGAGATCGGCAAATCCTTGCCTCAGATAATCTGGCGAGCCCTCAATTCGGCGATCTCATTCTGAGAGTACCCTAGTTCCAGCATGACCTAAAACCAATTCACAATCAGAAACCAAAATGCACAATGCACAATGAAATGCAATTCAGAATGAGGGTAGGCGAACCGAAAACCTAAGATATCACTGGCACGTGCACGTACCTCCTTTGTATGCTGTGACAGCCAGGGCGGTGGTCGTCTCACCGGCATCCTCTTTCCATTGTAAGTAACGGGTGGAGCCACCATCCTTACTTTCCCTGCTCGTGGGTGCTATTCAATGAATCAACATAATCAAACCAAAGTCTATCACACGAGGACGGGGGATACGTACATCAACCTCCACCGTAGCCTGCCGAGCGCCAACTTGCGGGTGCGCGAATGACTGTTGGATATTATTGATTGGCCCAAACGGTACCCTGCACGGACATGCGCGTGTGAATATCTTGGTAGATGCATCATACATAAGTAAACATGATGCACGACGCACCCTAATCCCGTGAAGCGTTCGATCCAATAATCCCTTTCGTGTCTTTGGAGCACTTGTGTAATGATGACCACCAATGCCTCCCTGTTTGCTACCCGTGTAGCATTACTAACAAACCTCGCATCATCCGCCAGCTCGGGCTTCTCTAGAATCCTTTCGGCAAGCAGTCGGAACTAACGTCGCATATGTCTCGGAGTCAGGTCGTTTAGAATTGCTTATCAGTGGTGCTGCCCACCTGCTTGTCGTTGCCCGCGCCAATCATGAGGAATCCGTCTTTGCATGGGAAGACTTGGTAAGGAACGATGGACGGGTGGGCAGTTCCGTGCCGAGAGGCTTCCTTTCCGGCGATGAGATAATTTGACGCTATATTCGCAAGACTTGCGAGCTAAGTATATACGAGAGAAACCATATTGGTAATCATTGACCAGGAGATAAACACGTGATAATCACTGCACCTGTGTCTCAAATAAGTTGCAGTCTATCCAAACGCCTTTTCCCGTGTGCTGTACGGAACGCAAACCAGCAAGGATGGCGCCATGTGCGTAAAGACCTGTCATCAAGTCTGTCACCGCAACACCCACTTTAGATGGTGGACGATCAGTTTCTCCTGTGCTACAATCCATAAAAGGCAAGGCATAAGACTCAAGACTCAAGATATCACCTGCAGGCTGGAAGCGCCTGCAATACAGCATACATACATGTGCATCAGCCCAGCTTCTGCTTCAATGATGACATCGTAACCCGCAGCTTCGCGGAACGGGCCTGTCTGTCCATACCCTGATTGCATCAGTTGCATTGAATACTGATAGCAGGGAAAGTGAAGCTCAGACAAACCGGTGATGGAAGCGTACACAAGCCGCGGATTGAGGACCTTACAGTCCTCCCAACCGAGACCCATCCCTGCGAGCTTTCCTGCAATAAGATTTTCTACGAGCACATCGGAACTTCGAACTAGCCTCTGCACGACCTCGAGTCCCGCAGGATCCTTGAAATTCACAGTGATAGAACGCTTGTTTCTATTCACAGCGAGGAAATATGCAGATTCAGGTGGGAGGTGTGACGATTCTTTCGGAGAATTCGAGGAGACGGGAGCAGAAGGAGGTAGCCAGGAGCCTGGTTTTTCTTAGACAAGGAACGGATAGGCTAGCACAGGCCACTCACGAGTGTCGTCGCCGCGGGTAACTTCCTCGACTTTGATGACATCTGCGCCCATGTCTGCGAGAAGCATGGTGCATGATGGGCCTGCTAGCACACGAGTGAGGTCGAGGACTCTGATGCCCGTGAGTGGGGGCGGAATGCCCTGGTCATTAGATTGAGTGGAAATGAGGGAACGTCTGATGAGACGACTATCAAGACGGGTGACAGCGCTGAGCGCTCTATATTTCGACAATATCATTTCAGAACGTGGAAAAAGGAACAGAGCTATTAGCGCTTAGCAACGGTTAAGACAATGATTTTGAAACTTGATAGTCCAAGTTCAACAGACAAAAGACTAGTACTAGTGCTAATGCTAATACTAGTGCTTAGCATAGCATATAATATTCTTACGTTGTGAACAAGGTGGCAGAAGTCCAAGTCCATTAATATAATCGACAATGACGCGGACATTACACCTGGCACCGCTTCTCCGTCCGCAATGTGCTGATACTGACAAGAAAACATATATAACAGAAAACAAAAACATATCAACTCATTTCGTCTAACGTTCATTACGGCTATTCACAACCAACCATGGGCTTCTTCTCGTCGCTCAGGACAGTAGACGAGTCCCAGTCGCACATTCACAACGACAGTTCCGTGTCCATGTCAATGGTCCAGGTCATCCGTTCCCGATTTGTGCGTATTTCTATCCGTTCTCTTGATGAGACCGGTCACTGACCAAAATGGGGGCTGTGAAATCTGCAGTATGGAAAGTATAAAGGCAAGGCGCGCGAGACGCACCAACCTTCAATGATTAGGCAAAGTGACCACAATCCCCACCGTCTCAGCGCTGGGCGCTCCCCTCTCGGTACCGAGCAATTCTTATCACCACCACAAGATACTCCGCGTACACATACAGACGTAATCACGTACGTCTTTCATCGACTGTAAATCACACTGCTTGCTCATGTTCTCCTGCTTACAGGACCACCCTTGCACAACGTCTCGACGAACTTGCTGCTGCGAATTCTCAGGGCTTACTCGAGTGAGTTCGTTTTGGCTCTTCAGACTGAGGACCATGACATGTGTGTTGCGGTAGCGATCATTGCACCCATATGAGTTGACGCAATGTTTCCTTACACTAAAATTGGTTTCCCATGTTCACATCAAACCTCCCACCGTACTGATTCCGCTCACAGTAACGATGAATACCGTCTTCTGCGGCAAAACATCTTCGAACGGCTTGCTTCGGGTAGCTCAGTCCCACAGGAAGCTCCCCTTGTCCCCATTGTCTCGCGCCCACCGAATGGTGAGCCTTACACTGTGCATTTCGAAGGACTGATTTCCAACTTCGTTCTCTACGATTTACAGCCTGCAACCTGGCTTCTGCCAAAAGTCCTTCACCATCTGTCCGCTCCAAATCCTCGATCTCCTCTGCTATGAGCACTCTCTTTAGACGCTCTTCCCGAATCTCAGCTCATACAGGTCTCACCGCAACAACAGACGATACGTCCATCTTCTCCGGCGGTACATCCCGACGGCCAATTCCGCCGCCATACATGCGAAGTGATGTCTCTCTGACATCGGAGAACCTGTCGCATACGGGTGACGTGCAGTATTTAAGTGCGAATATAAGCACCAGCAGTATCAATGTTGGTGGAAACAGGGAGAGAACCAGTCCGTACCGGTCCCTCCGCCGCCTTCAAACAGGACCAGTTACTCCTCCGTCTTCCTTCCGTCTAAATAGCACAACCGGCTCACCCTCCACACCCATTCCCTCAACATCAACAACCCCACGCACATCTCCATCTCTATCAGCATATACGAATACCGCCGATCCCGACAACCTATCCTCATCAGAGCTGAAGCACCAAATTGCGACGCTTGAAGCTGAGGGCAGACGATTACTTGATGCGTTCAATGGGCTTGAGCTCACCGCACTGACTCGACGTCATTCACCGCGAACGCCTTCCGTGCGCCGAGTCCGCGTTGGAACGGGAGGGAGCGATCATGGTAGTAGAGGTGGGGGAAGTGAATATGGTGGTAGAGGTGGGGGCAGTGAACATGGAGGCAGTGGATACCTAAGCACCGGGAGAGGCACACCTTGCGAGGCTGATACTCAATCCATGTACTCTGCGTCAGCAGCCTCCAGTGTTAGCCAACCGCGTTCCCAGCCGCAGTCATACCGGAATTCCTCGTTACGTGCACCGCCATCAACATTATCTGCGTCGGCAAGGAAGCGTAGTATGTCATCTATATCGTCTCGCGCACGCGTCCCTACAAACGGCTCGATGCATGCTTCGCACTCCCCGCCGGGACTCACCCTCAGCAAACTGCGGGAACTAGGCAGTGTCTCCTCTGTTAACCTTGCACGAGACTCTTCTATTCACCTCCCATCGACTGTGCACAACTCGCCGGTGCGTGAAGTACCTGACGATGATGCCTCCATCTCGGCGCTCGAGAGTGAGTTGAGTGACATTCGACGCCGGCGAGGAGAGGTGACTGCACGATATCAAGCACGGCTGGAGTATCTGCGGGCACAACTGCGGGGGGCAGAACTGAGGGAGAAGTTGATGAGGAAATGAGAATAGGGGTCACTGGGTTGGCGTGTTTGTGACGGCTCAGTCATTTGTAATTGGGATATCGTTATATACCTTCGTTCGACACTACTGTTCTTTGTTATATGCGGATCATACTGGCATTTTTTTGGTTGTCATCCTCGCATTCAAAAATCTGAATGTTATCGGAATTCTCCCCAAAGTTTCGGTCTGACTCAGTATCTTATTGGCGATTTTGTAATTACTCGCCCGAGTCGTGCTCGTCGTCCTTCCCAGAAGACCCATCCGTAGGTGGATGAGTTTAGGTTCAGGAGAAGCTTAGCTCTGTTTTATGCTATAGTTAGAGCTCAGTACTCAGTTACTTAATTGGCGCTTTTCGCTTTAGCGCTTAACCCCTCTAAAAGGGGGTCTCGATTAATTCTACTGCAAAGATCTCGCATTGACTGCTTTCAACGCTTAAGACGATGTTCTCATTGCTCCGGACGACACTCACACCACATTTGCCAGCAAGCGTCCGTTTCCGTTCACAACTCGCACCTCGTCAAGTCCAACATGTCAAACGACATAAAGGTCGCGTTCCGATACCCATAGGCGGGTCAACCAAAGGCACCACACTTGCTTACGGTGAATGGGGAATTCGCATCAAGGGCATGGGCGTCCGCTTCAGCGCAAAACAGCTTACTACGGCTGAGGAAGTTATAAAACGCAAAATAAAGGTCGTCAAAGGCGCAAAAGTTTATCTTAGAGTTTTTCCTGATATTCCAGTTTGCATCAAGGTCTGCTATACATGTGTTTGTTCTCTGCATAATTTTCTGACGTGTCTTCAAGGGAAACGAAACTCGTATGGGTAAAGGAAAAGGAACGTTCGAGTTTTGGGCTACCCGGTGTGTTCTCCTTTGAGCTTGTGTTTCACGAGGCTCATTTGCGCAGCGTCCCCACCGGTCGCGTCATATTTGAGATTGGAGGGACCCCGATTAGAGAAGAGTTGGCACGCGAAGGCAGGAATTCCTACCCATCTCTATTCTATCCAAACTCATCCCTTCACAGCTTTACGCCAAGCAGCAGACAAGCTCCCAACGATAATGGAATTTATCACGCGTTCGACGCCCCCTAGACTTGGAAATTTAGTCCTACAACCAGAACCCCCCACCGCCCAACTTTCATCCCCTACACAGACAGTCGAGACCTAGTAGCGCTGTTTCGTACACTTTGCAATACATTCATATTTGGATTACAAGGTTTTGTACAGAATCATCAAATTCCTGGCTTTGTGGGGCCTACATCACTCACGTTTTTAAAGTAGAAGTGCTAGCATCAGAGGTAAGTTTTATGTATGTACATTGGACGTCCGCTATGTAGTAAGTTTGACGGACTTTGTTTGTAAAGAACAACAGCAAGGATAATTATAAATGAAAGAAAAACACAAGCACAGATCACTGCGATATGCTCATTAAACTTGCAACAAACGTCAAAATCTGCAGTGACAATCAGCACGACAACGAAGACCGGTCATGGAATAAAAAGCGACGCACGAGCCGTGGACGAACGTCCACTATGTCCTCAGGCACCAAGAAAATCAGCGCGTTCATCTTTCTCGCAATAGAGATAGCCAGTTTCGCTTAAAAGGAAGGGAAACAAAATTCAGCATCCGAGAAACCCCTGCTCTCACAAAACTACCTACCATTCTGCCGCCGATCCTCATAATCTCCACTCTCGCTGACATTAATCACAAGAGCGGGATCCACGATCCCTGGTCGCATCGCGTCCAGAAGATCGAGGAAGAATAGCCCAGTGGTAATAGCTGGATCTTTGAACGATCGGATAGGTCGAACGCCGGCTTTGCCTTTTTGTGCAGTTGCGTTTGCCCATCTAAGCATGTCTGTGTCGCTGATGGGTTTACCAGTCTTGGAGAGCGCCATCAGGGTCTTTGTGATGTTCAACCTGCAACAATCGAATTGAGACGCGTAGGTAGTGTGAAAGACTCGATGTACCTCATTAGTTGCCAGACAAGACCAAGAACGAGCGTTTTTGAACCATCGACGATATCAGCCCCCTGGATACCAACGAGGTGCATTCCATTCTGCTTCCCAAGTTCCACTGCGTAGTTTGTGTTCTCCACTTGCTTGAAACGGGAGAGCGTGCTTTGGTTGGGAGTGACGCCAATATCTTCCTGCTCTTCTTCATCTAGCATCGTTGGGGGTGGAGCTTGTGCACCACCTTTGGGCTTGGAAACACGGCGCCATACTACAGAGCCAGGCGAAATCTTATCAAATGCTTGGAGGATGATGAGTCCATCGCGCAAGTTCTCGAATAAGTTGAACACTGCTGGCTCGACGCCGAGCGAGTTGAGCCATAGCGTGAATGCGCGCGCTTCACGCTCTCCCTCTGCATCAAAGTCCTCGACAGCGCCATAATCTTTGGCTTCTTGTTCATCGAGGGGCTCGAGGCCGGGCCAGGTGTTAAAGAGGTTTGCGACAAAGGCAAGGTTGAGACGGGGGTTACCGGAGACGAGGGATGAAGGTGTCAGGTACTTGCGACAGCCGATGGCTTCGGCGTTTTGGAGGACTTGTTCTGCGCGTTGTCTCACGTCTTTAGTTTGGAGAGGTGCCAAGGAGCAATGATCTGGTTTGAGCTGATTCAAGAGGACGGTGTAGTTCTCGCCGTCTGAGACATCACGGCTGAAGTTGTTAACCCTAGTAGATCATGAGTGAGAAGGGATCAATAAGTGCAGATGATGAGCGTACCTCCGTTTCCATCCTGCGGCTTTCAAGTGGTAGTTGAACCAACGAAGTAGAATTTGATCTGGCGTCAACCGTAGAAGATCGTCGATAGTTTCGCCATCCTCGCACAGCCGATACAATTCAGGGTGAATCTTAATATCGACCTGTGCGAGCAAACCACGTCGGATGATCTGCCAAATAAGCCCAAGGATCAAATGCTCCCTTCCCTCTGCGATATCGGAAGAGCCAATATTGACAACGGAGCATCCGATACCCTTGGCAGATGCGATCACGATGTTGTTGTTCTCCGTCATCTGGAAAGCATTCAATGGTTTACGTGCGTTTGGCTTGTTCAGAACACGCGTATCGATGGTGTCGGGGACGGAATCATTGATCAGTTTACAGAGGATGAGACCATCCTTGCATTCGTCGAAGAGTTGCATAGTTGAGGTAGGGATTGGAAAAAGGTTCCCGATGTCGGGGTCGTTTTCAATCACCTGCAACGAGTGAATAAGAGAAAAGATGACAGTTATGAGAGGAACTCACCGTGTTGATGTGATTTGTGAATTCAGACCGCTCATCTTCGTTGATCGTATGACTGACATTAGCGTTCGAGCCTTGGACAGTAACCTTTCCTGCTCGTGTTGGAAGAACAGAAGCCTTGGTTTGTGTGCGTAGCTTGACGTTGAGCTGGCGAAGGACAGCTGTATCATGAGTGGTGTGGAAGATGACATCATGGACGGTGTACGGACCTCTACCCAGTCTTCGAGCTCGACTTTGCCACTGGCATCGACAGAGACATGTTTAAGCGTCTCTCGAGCATTGTCATACGATTCTCCGGTATTCTGAAGTGCTTGAAGAACAGCGCTCTTGTCTATACGACCTGGCGTGTTGGTACTGATCGCACTGCGGACGAGATTTATTACTCAAGTAATCTCGAAAGGAGATCTCACGTACTTGAAGCGATTTACGAGATCAAACATTTCATCTTTGGAGACTTCTGGATATTTCTTTTGAAGTCGGAAGGCCTCCATTGGAGATGATAAAGAGGAGGATAGTGGCGGTAATTGGACAGAGTAAGTTGTGGAGCGCGGTGCTGGGGGTCGCCACTTGGCTGCGGGTGATTGACTGCGTGTTACCATCACCATCTTCGACTTCAACTGTGGGTTGTTTCAGACACGCTTCACTCTTTCTTTTTTACTTATAAGCCTTCAGTTACACGCAGCCCACGCAGCACGCAGTTCCGGCTGATCGATGCCTAATTACACGGAACTAGTATGATTTAGAACTTCGATGTAACATTTGAGTCACTATTTTGACTGCGCATGACACAGCTTCATGCAATGCCCTTGACCTCGTGTCAATGGGTAATGGGCATGAGTGCTCCCACTGAGTGAACAATTTAGAGTCGATATACGTAGATCTAGATAGACATCTAAGTACAAATTGAGGTAAATCTAAGAAATTCTAGACGGCAAAACTGAAATTTTGTGAGAATCTTTGCAAAGGTCAAAAAATGTAAGCATGTTAGATTTCGATCGCGTAGTCTCACTTGTTGGTTCCTTCTGGTGTCCGTTACTCTGGCAGTCAAGAGCACAGAAGTTGCTAGAGAACAAAGGTGTTATTTCAAGTTACGAGTGGCTAAGACAACACACCGAGCTGTAATATTCGCGCTCACCCGCACGGGCTTTGTATTTGGCTGCCTCTTCTTAGCAGGCTCGGGTTGCTTGTTCTTCGGGGTATTATCGCTTGAGGTGTCAATAATCTTTCGTTTGACTAAGGATGCTGCGGTTAACATCAGGTGTGTCGGGGTGAATAATGTATTGCGACTGTGCGATGATCAGTGTGTTTTGATTCACTCGACTTCGCGAAGCAGCATTAATAGGTCCAGTAGACCAGATTGTAGTGAATGACGGTCCACGGAACAAGTCCAGCTCACTATTAGGAGGTCAGCTGCAGTAATATAAAATATCGTACACATTGACGATCTGAAGTCTTCGAGCTTAGCTGGGCTTGGGTTCTGTTGAGCTCAATACCGCCGTTAATTTGTTCCTCCAACCAGGCGGACTGGTGACGGAATGAGAATCAACCACAGCTAGACAATTATTTTTTTAGACAAGCGGGTTTATTGAGTAGCAACTGACACCGTCTAAGAGCATGAGTGGTTGACCGAAGTTGTGATAACCGATAGTATATGCAAAGTTTGTCAAACTACAGTCTACGGCAAGTCTACGGCACTAGTTTCCGAAATGATTTTGTTCCCACGGGACTTTTCGTTTCACCATGCTGCTACCTTTGCGCACTGGAGTCAACGCGGTGGTCGCTGGGGTGAATCGACTCGACAAGTCGTTTTCACCCTCGGATACGGTGACGAAACTCCGTGCACACAAATTCACCCTGAAAGACTCTATTTACATTTTACACATACTCTCTGCTCTCTTCTGGCTCACTCTCATGCAAGTCCCTCCATTCCCCTACAAACTAGCCATACCCATCCTATACGCAGTCGCCCTATTCATCCCATTTACTTCCCAATTCTTTATACCCGCGACACCCATCTTCTCATGGGTTCTCATGTTCTACTCAAACCAATTCCTACCCGCCGACCATCGCCCCGCAGTACACGTCGTCCTCCTCCCAACTCTCGAATCCGTCCTCTACGGCGCAAACATAAGTGACATCCTCACCCACTTTACACATCCCATCCTCGACATCATTGCCTGGCTCCCATATGGCGTTATCCACTACACATTCCCCCTCGTCCTCGCTGCCCTCCTCTGGCTCTTCCGCCCGCCCACCCTCCCCGTATTCGCCAAAGCCTTTGGCTATCAAAACTGCATAGGCGTATTCGCCCAAATTGTCCTCCCCTGCGCAGCACCCTGGTACGAAATTATCTACGGCCTGACACCCGCAGCATATGGCACGCCCGGATCTGCAGGCGGCCTAGGCCGCATCGACGACCTCTTTGGTGGAGATGGCTACAAACGCACTTTTGCGAGCTCACACCCTCGTATTCGGCGCTTTCCCTAGCTTGCACGCTGCATGGGCCACCCTCGAAGCACTCTTCATCACCGCCTTGTGGCCCCAGTACGCGAAATGGGCTTGGGCATATGCGGCGGTCCTCTATTGGAGTACCATGTACCTGAGCCATCATTATCTGATTGATGTCGTAGGGGGTGCGTGTCTTGCCACTGCATGTTTCTACTTTTTCGTGCCCGAGGAGTTGCGCAATGGGAATGTCAATGCTTCTGGAGACAAGTATGAGAGATATGATCTCGAATCGAGGAGGGGTGGAGTGGCCGCGGACGAGTTTGCGAGTGACTGGACGGTCAGTGATGAGGAAGAGACGCCTATTGCCTACCGATCGCCGAATCCTGGAATGGGGAGGGGGAGAGGGCATAGGCATACAGCTAGTATCGCAAGTCTCATCAGGGCTGATGAAAGAGCTGGAGAAGAGGGTTGGAGTCCCATCGCCGGTGTTGGGTTCGTGTTCCCGCCTGAAACCAGGAGGTAGTGTGTTAGACGGTTGGTTTGCTTGCGTATACCTGAGTTCTGGTTGCTAGATTAATATTCTTCTCACATCGGGGATTGCAATATTTAAGACAGCTTTGAATGTCGTGCGAAATGCGAAGATAATACTAAACAAGGACTCCCCCTCGGTCGGCTCTACGACAATATGATATTGTGTTTACAGTAGCCACTCAGGAAATATCATATCAGCGTCGTCTCTGCAAATAGTTAGTGTCTCTTCGCGTTCTCACTTTCGACAACACCGTGCACAATCGACTGTAAGCGAAGGGATCAGTCCGGAGGTCGAGCACAGTTTGCGTTAGCGTCAAACATTAACATCCATTTGATGTAGTTGCATATGCGGGTCGCAGAGGAAACTGTTTTCGGTTCACTGTCCATGGCGAACGGTTTGTATGGAATGCGGGGGATGCAGTGGCTTTCAAATGTATTGAGAAGTTGGAGATTGGCTGAGGAAGTGACGGTGCAGCACGACGACGCACGCACGCGCGTTTCTGATCAATCCCATTTCTACCGAGAGGTTACATACTCCAGGATGGGTTAACATCACAAGATAGTCGAGTGTGTATTCTGGTGCGTTCAATCGAGTCTGCTCAGCTTCTTTCAGGCTGTCTGAAATAAAATAAGATTCTACATGGCTTCGTCAGTGAAATGTGTGATCGATATCACTTGCGATACTTACGAAAATCGCCTGGCAAGTTGTCTAGAATTTTGTCACTGAAAATCCATCAACATAGACGCAGGTCCCCCATGCTCCGAATTGTAGTGTTGAGAGTCAAGATCCGAATGCTATTCCATGGCGTTGATGACTTTACTGACGCTGCGAGAGTGGCTGTCTCTCCTGCTCCGCTGGCAATGGGGCCTGCTTGCCGAAAATCTCCCAATCCTATGAAGGTCATTCATCCGCATGGCATTGTTGGGCGATTGCAGATTGTACGGCAAAAAGTTTGTCGACGCTCTCCCATCCGGCTCTGTTCATGGCAGGGAGTTCATCCCAAATGATTGCAATGGCATTTCGAATGAGGTCTGCGCGAAGAGAGTGAGGGTGAATGGAGCTATGTAAATTGTTATCGTCGGTTAGTGGGATGCAAACATATGATGCGCTGTGCGTCCTCCCCCCCAGTCAAGCTGCTTGAGTGTGGTGGCAGGAACGTTTTCGGCACTATCGTTAGTACTGGTAACATCAGGAAAACCCCCCGCTACAAATTTAGGCTAAGTATGTCAAACTTTCTCTAATTTATGATATTTTCGATAAAATAGACAACTTAGCGCTTTAGAGAGACTTTTTTACTGCCCCACGAGGAATTCTTCATGCACGCTAAATTAGTGATAATTATGTGCAATTTCAGGCAAACTTACAACCAAGAATGCTTGACTATCAGTTAGAACATTCATGGCAGGAATTGGAGTTGTTTACAAAAACAAATTAGAGTTTGATTAAATGAGGGTATACAAACATAGGTTGTGCGTATTTATAGCAACCGATGAACGAGAGAGGAGTGTCGGAAATTTCTAAAGGGGGCTTGGAAGGCTGCTATATTTGGACTGAATTGTGATGCCTTCCAACTTCATTGCATCCGAGTTTCAAGTCGGACCGAGTCTATTTCGAGCGTCTGGCAAAGGCACCGACTTCTTTTGGTGCCTCGCAAGATGCCGTGCTGTGTTTCAACAGGCTGACAAAGGTCCAAGGGGCTTG